TTAATACATCGCTAATAAAATGTACTATTAAAAATGATAATAATTTTTTAATATTTCTGGTAAAACGTTACTTAAAACATTATTTTTCTACTGAAAATTAAATATTGGGCGCTACCTAAATTGTTTAACATTTCCGGTAAAGTGTCACCTAAAACATTATTTTTTCTACCGGAAATGTTAATATTGGACGCTACTTAAAATGTTATTTTTTTTTCTACCAAAAATTAGGTAGTGAAATTAACATTTCCGGTAAAAAAATATTTTAGGTAGCGCTTTATCAGAAATGTTAAAACAATATTAATATTTCCAATAAGATATTTCTTTAACCGTATATTAAGGATATTGTACAAAACTACCACATTTTACTAGTCTGTCGTTAAACAAAATTATAAATTTGGCATATATATAATTAAAGATTTATAGAAGTTAATAAAATAATTGTATTTCACCCAAATGAATCATTAGTATATTAAATACATTTTTGTGTTAATATTTATATTATCTTTCAATGAAGATAATTAGTTTGTCTGTATCTATTATTTATCTAAGTTATTTGATTGTATTTTTAATTTTTTATGATATTTTTTAAATGATTAGTTTGTGTATTTTCATAATATATATTCATCTTATATAATTAATTTAGCTTGATTGTTATAAACTATTTTTATAATTTTAAAAATTTCCTCCTCGTTTTCTTCTAATTATTATTATTATTATTATTATTATTATTATTTTATAACTCATGAAGTATTACTTTTTAAATTTTAAGTAATTAAATTACTTTTTCATAATTTTTCTTGTTATAATTAGAAGGAAGATATCCTACTTAATCGAGAATTGAGGTTAAACGAGTGAGGGGTTGGATCTGAGTTTACCCCTAATTCAATTGTACTTAGGTCTAAGTCTAGGTTTAGATATGCGATTCGGTTTGAATTTGGATTGTGAAAGAGTAAGGCTTATTTCGAATCTGGGCCATACAAAATTAGTGTTTATACTCAATTTTCTTTTATAAAAATAGTGAAAACTTTTAGTTTTTTCTCATACAAATTTGTTTATAATGTTTTTTGTATAAATTTTATTTTAATTTAATTTTTTGTTTCAAAGTTAGTTTTATTACCACTCTTTAAGTTAATATATATTTAGTTTCAAACATAACTATTTTTTTATTAATTTAAGGTGAATACAAGATAGTAATTGTTTAAAGACTCTCAACTATTTGACATTGAACGCTTATACTCCTGCATACATGGTGTTCGAACTCGGGACTTCAAAGAAAAATAACAATTCTTTAACACATAAGATCAGTTAGTCCGTACAAACATAACTATTTTTTAGATATAGTAGGATGCCAATTATTAATTATTAATTTTTTATATTTTATAATTTTATAACTTTTATACTTTTTATAATTTTAAAAAATTTGTTACAATTTGTAATGAATTTATAATTTTATATTATTTTCATGATTTTTTTAACAATTTTAATTTTTAAAACTTTATAAAATAATTATAAATAAAAAATTTTAAGTTATTTTTATAATTTTTTTTATTTTAACATTTTTGTTTTATAATTTTCTACCATTTTTATACATTACGATTTTCCTTTTTTTTCTAATTTCTTGTAAGTTTTAATATAACAACCTTATAAATCGTCATATATTATAATCTGATTGATGGATTTATTGATTAAAGACTAATATTAATCAATTATAACTAAAATTTTTTAATTATGATTTTTAAATTTATAAAGATTTAATTATATTTAAAGTATCCCATGGAATTTTTTAATTTTACATTTTATAAGGTCTTTGTAAACTCCGAAAAACAAATAAACAAACAAACCACACTTCTCGAGTCTCCATAAGAAACGAGTATACATAGGGATGACCATCAGACTTGAATCCGACGAGTTTCGATCTAACCCAATTCGATCGGGTTATTTTTTTAATTTAAATCAGGTTGGTTTTTTTAAATATGATGTTCAGGTTAGGTCGGATTCGGGTTTAAGATAAAAAAAATACTTGATCCGAATCGACCTAAAAAGATAAATTTTTACCTTATATATTTATGAATAATTACAATAATACATCTCTATATATTATTTTTTCAATTAAATCACTATTTTTTTAATAAAAAATATTTTATTATTATTTTAGGTCGCGTCGGGTCAGGTTTGGATTTTATCTAAAAAATCGGGTCGGATGAAAAAAATATATTTTTCATGTCGGGTCAAATCGGATGAACAATATAAAATTTTTGGATCAGATCGGATTGACCGAAATCTGACACATGCTGAGTATACATAGTAACCAATGTGAACATACCTGAGCTTGTGATAAAATATATTTTGAGAGTATTACTACATTAAAAAGTTTAAAACAAAGTTTCATTAATCATTATTATTTTAAATATCATGAGTTATAAACTCCATCATAATCGTTATTCAAAAAAGTTATGAGCTCAGTCAGTTTGATTCCAATTTAATTTAAAGAAATAATATATATTATATGTTAAGTTATTAAAGTCAATGCTTATCTTGAACGCCGACTTTCATGCTTATCCTTACAGGCTACAACCCTCGTTCATACATCATAGTCACCTACATCAAGCATACGTGCCGTCTGCCTTGTTTGAATATAATAAAGTTTTTATTTATTTAAAAGTCTCTTAAAACCAAAAAAGAAATCCTAAATGCATAAAACTTCAATTAAACTCTTCTAAATCAGTAAAAGAAAAGTCGATTAAACTCTTCCGTTATAGTTGATCAACGTTGATCATTAATAAATAAGTAGATGGATAAGATAATGATATATAACTTTTTTTTTGTAAAATTATGACATCATCAAATTTTAAAAATTCAAATTTTTTTAAAATTATCAGATTTTATAAATGATAGAAAAATCATATCGAAATCAACAATTTATAGAATACGTGGTTAAAAAAACTTTTAGTTAAAGCTTTTTTAAGTTACGAGTTTAATACTTATTAGTACTCTAGGAGCAAAATTTTCTTTCTCTCTCCCATAAGTAGAAATTATTCAAAAAATCATAATGAATATAATAATTTTTTTAAAAACAATATTAAAAAAATTGTAAAATTAGAATTATATACTAGTATAAATCAAATAGAAGCTGATTAAAATACCCAAAAAAAATTTATAAGGTACTCAATATCGATAATGAATTTTTAAAAGGTATAATATTTTAGAAAAATCCGATGTTTGATTAGACAATCATTTTGATTTTGATTTTTTTTTGTTGAAGTTGTTTAGTCCAACATTTCATTTTAGGACAAAAAAGTTTATCTATGTATAGAAATCATTATTTAACAAACAATTAATGTTCAAAAATAGGAGGTTTGTACCCTAAAATAAAATAATGAGGATGGAAATGTATAAAAAAGATAAATGTCAAAGTGATTATTTGATCAAATGTTAGAGACTTTTTGCTTTAAAATCAAAATGTTACGAGCTACAATACTTAAAAAAATAATAAGAATAGAATGACCATTATGATAAATATTGTAATTAATTTTGTTATTATATATTTTTAGAAAATAAACGTTGAAATACAAACTCAGGATATTAAACTAATGATTGATACATAAAAATCTCACAAAACACATTAATGAATTGAGTGTTTTGCATGTGTATTAGTTATAATGCGATTAGTTTAATACCCCATGTTTATACTACCTCCAACCAAATGTTACGAGTTTATATTTTTATTCCCATCGTCTCCGTTTCTACACACCACTTTCACTAAATTAGTCATAAAAAAACGAGACGAAGAGTAGGAACCATTCAACAAATCTTAAAGATTAAATATATGGATTGCCACATGAATATCTCTGACTCTTTCACACTGTTCCCCAATATTATAATCATTTAATGCGGTTCATTTGATTATTGTATGTAAAATAATCATACAAAAACTTATATGGTACGATATGATGATTGATTAATAAATATAAAATAATATTAGTTAAAGATAATACGGAAATACTATAAATAAGATAATATTATTAATTAAATATATAAAAATTAAATATTACTTGAATTATTGAAACAAAACATTATGAATGGAGGGAGGAGACAGAGATGCTGTCTGTCTTCATTACGTGGGAGATGTGTTGACCGATTACGTAGAATTCCAAAGCCACGTGAGGTGCTGAAGTTGGAACTTTTCCAAATGTTCTGCCACGTGTCACATCCACGCATATTTGCAGTGGCTAGTCGCCGCTTCTTCGGTCATCACTCATGCTTGCTTGGCTTAGCCTCCAAGAAAAAGAATATTCTCCTGTTATTTATTTATTCACTTAATTACTTACCTACTATTTTTCTGTTTGCTCTGTCAACCACGATTTCAGATATGGTGCATCATAAATTCCCATTAAAAAAATAAAAACCAAATTTAAACATAAAATAAATAAAACTGTATACAAAAATTATTTATTATTTCACTTTAACAATTTAAATAAATTTTAAAAATATAATTTTTATATAAAACATTTTCATTCATCATATTCTAAAATTTAATAAGTACTATATATTAATTTTTATTATATGACTAAAACCATTTTTATATAAAAAAGATAAAAATAAAGACAGTTATGGTATTCACGTGGCATCATTGGATTGGTAGATAAGTGGTGCATAGAATGAGAGATAAAGGACAGTGGTAGATAACAGCTAAAGAGGGAGATAAACCCAAAAGGTGGGTCAATGGTTGATGAAGAGTCGTTTGAGGCCACTTGAGGTAACGTCCAAAGCCAGTGACGGAAGCGATGACATCATCCAAAATTTTCGTCTAAGAGATGGCGGTCTACGACGAAAAGAAAACGGTCGCACCGCTGCTTTAAACCCACGTTTTCAATTTTCCCAGAAACAGCCCGCACGTGTCTCTTTTCCCTATAAAACCTTTCCCCTCACCGGCTCTCCAGTTTCAAACTTCAAAGCTAAAGCTCCGAGCATCAAGAGAAACAACGCAAAGAAGTTAAAAAAAATCAAGTGTTTTTTTCTCTTCTGAAAAGAAGCTCGAAGAAGTTAGTGAAGAACAACGGAAAGAGAAAGAGAGTTATTTTTTTACGTAGAGAATGAGGGGAGAATTGGAGTTGCCACCGGGTTTCAGATTCCATCCTACAGATGACGAGTTGGTGAATCATTATTTGTGTAGGAAATGTGCATCTCAGCCTATTGCTGTCCCAATTATTGCTGAGATCAATCTCTACAAGTTTGATCCATGGCAGCTTCCTGGTATTTTCTTTTTCTTTTTCCTTTCTCCTTGTTACAGAGTTTTGTTTTTGAAATGGGTAATTGGGTTTCGATTCAAATTTTCTCGGGATTCCCTTGATTGAAGTGTTAAGAACATTGGGTATTTCATTTTTTTTGGCGATTTGGAAAAAATGCAGCAACTTTTTGGGGCGATTCTCTGTTTGAAGTTATTTTCCCTGTAAAATTTGGAGAAAAAAATTCATTTTCCAAATTGAAATTGGCTTCTTTTTGTGTTTGGGTTAATTTGAGAATGAGATTAATTACTTATGATTTATATTTGGTTTAGATATGGCGTTGTACGGTGAAAAGGAGTGGTATTTCTTCTCGCCAAGGGACAGAAAATACCCAAACGGAAGTCGGCCGAACCGGGCTGCCGGAACGGGATATTGGAAGGCAACCGGAGCAGACAAGCCTATCGGGAAGCCGAAAACATTGGGCATAAAAAAGGCACTCGTTTTCTACGCTGGCAAAGCCCCACGCGGCGTCAAAACCAACTGGATCATGCACGAATACCGCCTCCCTAATGTTGACAGGTCCGCCGCCGCCGGCAACAAGAACAACAACTTGAGGGTAAAATTCATTAATCTTTTTAACTTTTTACCATGAAAGTTGCCAACTTGGCCAGCCCACAACTTAGCAATTTTATTTGACCAACAGAGTCCATTGAATTCTTAGCTCATTGGTTTGCTTTTTATTGCAGCTTGATGATTGGGTGCTATGTCGGATATACAACAAGAAAGGGAGCATTGAGAAGCATTTCCCAAGTGAACAAAAACTGTCGGGTTACCCTGAAATGGAAGATCAGAAACCCAACATCTTAATGCACGGTCAAAACATGACTGCAATTTCCCAACAACCTTCGTCGATGTCGACAGTGAACGATGAACTCTTACAAACGGATGCTTCGGATTCGGTCCCGAGAAGATTGCATACGGATTCAAGTTCGTCGGGGCAGGTGCCGTCCGCTGAAGTCACGTGGGAGAAAGAGGTCCAGAGTCAACCTAATGACGTCGATTTCGGGTTCAATTACATGGATTTCGGGTTCCAAGATGACCCGTTTGCAAGTCAAGTTCAGTACCAGATGGAGCAGTTGTCACCTTTGCAGGACATGTTCATGTATCTACAGCAGCCATTTTGAACACAGATCCATCCAAATCAAGTTTCTTAGATTTTTATATTGTGTTGGATTTCATGCACACATTTGCATGTGACATTAAATCTTAGGCTTCGGACAACCAATCAAATGTTACTTGTCAAATTCATTCAAAAGGTAGATTTAGGTAGCGGTGAGAGGGACAATGATCCTCATGTGAATAGTTAGTAAGATTGAAGCAAATTCTTCTCTGTAAGATTTGTACAAGGAATAATTATTTTTTTTTCTAGAGAAATATGTTTATATGTAAATCAAATATCATACTGCAATTCAAGGTGGATAATAATTTCTATAAATCTAATAATTTTTATAAGCCTTAAATCTACAAATGGTGTACAATCTATGTTTGTTTTTCTAATTTAGTGTTAACATTTATTTTGTTATAGTTTGGTATTTAACGTTTCTTTCTGTTATTCAAAATGGGTCAAGCCGTGAACGATCGTTAGTTTTCTTCGTTAAATGACACATTTCATAATATGATAATTTTGATTTTTTTAAATATTACAAATATTATTATATTTATAAAAAACTGTATTTCCTTTAAATTATAAAAAAGTCTCAAAATCCCCAAATTCTAACACTAGCATGCCGTCACAGTCCTTTCTGACCACGACCATCACCGCCGACGTAGTTTTTGTCATCATCCTAGTTATAAGTCATTATGGTTGTCGTCGATTGACTGTCAAAATCGTTCGGGGATTGCGATTTTCATCATAGGGTTCACGACTATAAAACGTCAATTTGTCATCGATCGACCGTTAATCAATCACGATTTCATAAGAGTTTTAGTCGCCGAGAGGAGAGGAGGTCGGGTGGAGCTTCATAAATGGCAAAGGGTGGTGGTTGACGTGGGGTTAGGGGGTTGAAATGAAAATTTTCAAAGTTTTGGGGTTATTTCAAAATCTATGTGTTTTTTAAATATATAATTTTTATTTTTTTAATTTTATATAAATTTTTTTAAAATTATCTGATTGTGACACGTGTCACTTAACTGAGAAAATTGAAAGTTTATCACGGCTTGACCCATTTTGAGTAACGGAATAAAACATTAAGTATCAAACTGAAACGAAATAAACGTTAGACATTAAACTGAAACAAAAGCATAAATTGGACACCTTTTTGTATATTTAATCTTTTTATAATTCTTAGTCTAAATCTATGATGGACGTCGAAATTTGACTATGATGCCATTTCTGTTGGAGCAGCCTTAATCTTGACTACCCATATCTGGCGATAAATAAAATTAAACACATTACATTTTAACTAATTAATAAATATAAAATTATATGAATTTGTTACTGTTATTATTATATTCTAAGAATGAGAAAAGAAACTCAAAGAAGAAGCAATATTTTCGAATGCAAGTAAATATTATTGTCCATGGAGTTCTTCAAGCCCCTCCCCCCCAAAACTACTCTGTACTGGTCTTTAATTCAGTCTCAATGTCATCAAATATTAATCACTTACCGACAGAAACGTTAATCAAAAGCGATATACACGAGATTTTAAGATGAATTTATAAATTTACAAGTTCTAATGTTAAAATACAAAGTTTAGAAATTTCAAGAGACAACTGCCTTCGTCATCCTCTTTAATCTATCCCTACTTACAGACATGTCCAAAAGTTAGTTCGAGCTCTCAGCTTTGAGCTTAAATTCTGGAACAAGGACATCAAAATCACTTACAGACCATTCTGCAGTCTCTCTCGTGCGGCTAACATATATTTCGGTGCCAACATTGATTGAAGACCAGACGCGCCTCGCGGGTTTTGTTCCTGGATCCTGCAAAACGTAGCAGCAACATAGTTTTTTTTTTCATCCGTCCAAATTAAACATCAAAGAACAATAATGATATTGAAGAGCATCGCGCAGGAAGCATGTTATCAACTAAAAACCATTGACAATGGTGTCTTTAACTCTCCGAATACTGAAACTGTTATCTGTAATCTTGTGTTACATGTAAGATAATGACCTCGAGAAATCAAAAGGTGAGCCACTTAAATCCTAGATCATGACCAACATCGAAAAAGGGTGATTATGGTACTAATTGTTACACATACAAAAAAAAATCCAGCAATAATACAATCAAACTAAACAAAAGGAGCTTTGATGCAGAAGATATGTGAATACAAAAAAGTATTGTTAGGGGTTAAATGCACTTTTGTCCCTAATATTTTAACGAGGTTTCATTTTGACCCCTTTCCTCTCATTTCAATTCTACTATAGTTCAATCAAAATCAATGAAAGTATTCAAATGTGAGGAGAGCAAAGTGTTTTCCAGCTAAGATTAATGTCTTCATCTTGAAAAGAAATTTCTAACTGCTTAAGGATATATCTGTAACAATTCAAAAATATTCAAGACTTCAAATGCAATCAATATATTGATAATATATTAACTGCTTTGATTGAAGTCAGTATGTGAGTGCTTTAACTGCTTGTTTCATTTTCTTGCAAAAATAACAAGCAAATAGTAGCATTTTTAGATGCAGCATTAAACAATATTTTTGTGGAATTAAAAACAAAAATGAAAACTTTAGATGAATAATGCATGATTTCATCTTATGATTGATACTACATTTTTAGATTTTTCATTTTTCATTTTACAATTTACATTTTCTTTACAACAACATTTGGGAAGCAGGTAGCAAAAACAGTAATCATATGGAGCCTAATTTCACCAAAGATTAAACTAAATTAATTGCAGTGGAAAAACATGATCAGCGTAATCCAACCTTTGGAAATGAAAATCAAATGAACTTTTAGTTGGGGGATTGTGCTTTGCTATCATTAATCCATTAAATAGTGGAAAAGCATGGTAGCCCACAACTAAAGAGAGAAAACTAGGCATAGATGAGACATATAATCAACTTTTTTAACTGATTTCATATATAATGCACTGCAAAAATAACAAAGTACCTGGTAGAAGTATAAACGGCTTGAGAGAGCACCCACATCAAGCTCCCAAGTTCTAGCATCTCCAATCCATCCATCTCCTTGCTTTTTAGGATAGCCATGCACACCCCATTCAGGATGTGGAAGAATTTGTACCAACTCCTGCGATTGTGGGTTACTGTACGGATCACAGATATCATATGGTTTCTCCAGATATTTGGCATTTCCAGGGCTGCAATATAGGTGATATGCAGAATATGGAAACCGACTTGTCTCATTTCGGTGTATTATCTCACCAGTAGGACTAATATGATAAGGTGGGCAGGAAACCAAGTTATCAGGACGGCACCAGCTTGTAGTTGCTGGATTAATTATCATCTCACTGTATCTAGTGACATCTGTCAGAACATCACCATCACATGGTTCTCCATTGTTTTTCCAACAGCTTCCAATGTCTAGTAGATAAATTTGACTGTTGGGTCCTCCTCCACGTTTTACGTCAAGTGTCAGCCTTACCACAAAATTCGGAGATTCAGGCAACTGACAGATCAAAAGTAAGACAAGTAAATCATGTTTCTGAAACAGAAACATAAAGCCATATCAACAGATAATTTTGGCATTAAAATGATGAGACAGCCCCATGGGTAGAAAGTGAAGCAATTAGGATAAATGAAAATGACAAGCTTTTCTATCTCTTGGAAGGTAAAAGATGAGAGGCATCTGCTTTTCTATATTCCATTTCCAAGCGTGAACATTATAACCTAAGTAGAAAACATGGTTAAAAAAACCCATATACAAGTGTCAGTTTTTCCAAGTACAGCAGAAATCAAACCTTTTTCAACATGCCACGCCCATTGTAGTGGTAACCACCATTAAATCCTTTGGTTGCATCTGCACGTAGATATAACATGAGCCAGGGATATTTAGTTGATGTTGACATCCTGTGAGAAAAAATCCAACTCCCTGTGCTAATATTCTTCTTCCATGAGACTGAAAAGAAGGAGTTGTTGCCCACATCTTCAACCAAGTTGGCATCAAGGTCATATGTTCCGCTAAATTCTCCAGTCAAATAAACCTTCTGGTTGCCAAAGGATTCTAATATTGAATAGTTATGGTAAACAACTGGTTGATTCATACATCCCTCACCAAAACATGGAAATTTTCTGTCTGTCACAATTTTACTTACTTTTTGTCCATTCTCTGGACAGAGAGTAGTATTTTTGTCAAAGTTCCCATTTTTAATCATGATCATCCAAAATTGCCAGGGATTTGGGGATTCCTGTACCTCACATAAAGAACCAAGATATAGTTCTTTCTCCTTTGCAAACAGGTCAGGGTCAGCAGAAGACTCAAAGCCCGTTGTAGGAAATTTATCACCAGCTCCTAAGCTGTTGTCAGTGTCATTCACTTTGTGTAGTACTCCGCATTGACTGCCATTATTAACAAGGCCACCACCTAGATGAGCTGATGATCAGAATGGGGCAGTAAGATGTTCATATTCGAAAAGGATATGTGATATTATTCTTTTATAGTTTTACGAGGAACAGATAAAATTTGCAGTTTATGTGAGACATCCGAACCCTTAACGCATTCTTTATTTTCAAAACTTAGCAAGTCAGAAAAAATGATGAAGAAAGGGGCTGGGGAAAATGATAACTAAGGTCAATGATCTGTTGCATTTTAACCGTCAAATCCCCATTTGAAAATAGTCAATAAGAAAGTTGTTTGACATGTTAGATCTTAGAGATAAAGCAATATCCATTACTCGGAATTCAATTATGCACTAATATGATATTCATATAATTCAAGTCCATGGTCAAATTGGCTTTGATTTCTTCAACAATATGATATTGAGAGAGTTGATTAGCCACTAGAATCAAACACTTAGTGGATAAGGTGGATTTGTACTATAATAGTAATTTGTAATGCTAAGCAACTCTATTGCTTTGAAACCGACGATTTTACAATCCTATCAAGTCTCAACAGCAACAGCAGGAGAAAAAAGTTAATCCGATAATGCATTCGCCATTACCAATGTATATTCACTAACCCATTGCTGCTTGCTTATTACATATTAAGATATTCCAGAAACAATTCAAAATTCGTTTGAACAGTTGTTTTCAGATTTCAGTATCAGTGTGCAAGGAAGTAACCTTAATAGCTAAAGGACGCAAACAAGACAAAGATTCGCAGACCATCTAAAAGCTCATTAGGATGAACAAATTAAGTAAAGAGAAGGAGGAAGTACCAGCGCTGGAAGAACAGTAAAGATCAGCACAGTCTGCATAGCGGGGGCTGCCCATGTTAGGAGCTTCAAATCCAACTTCGTTGCAGAAATTCCAAGCTTCCAAACCAACTCTCTGACATTTGGGTTTTTCATTCCAGGGTCCCCTACGGAAGAAACGTAGTCGGTAGGCTCGCCGAGCACTAACAAAGCGGCAGAATTTGAACCAAAAAATTGTTGGAAAACAAGGACGACGAGTACCCAGCAACAGAACCCCATTTTTGGTTTTTTAGCTATTGCGGCTCTGAAATGGTGCGGTTCGTGCTCATTGAGAGAAAAAAGCGAAGAAGGGGATAGGGGCGTTGGCTGCACGTTCCATCTGTAGCGTGGTGGCAGAGGGGAGGGGATGACATTGTTCATAAGTTCATAATTGGGGTTGGATGGAAATGAGATAAGAGAGAAAGCAGTTTGCTTTGCTTTAAAGACAATTCGTTTTCGGACGCTTTCTTTTCTTGCGGTTTTCAGTTTGCCACTTCGCCGCTTATTATTGTGATAGTTATTGTTGAACTCCAAGTCTTTATTTACCAAAGAAAGGGTTAATTGCATCACACATCTTTAAATTATAGCTTTTATTTTAAATCAGTTTCTAAACTTATAAATATTTTAATTTTATTATCAAATTATGACTTTTATTTCAAATTTATCCTCGAACATTTAAATATTTTAAATTCATCCTCAAACTATAACTTAATTCTAAATCAGACCCCAAACTTTTAAACATTCTAATAGCACCCTTGAAATCATTCAAAAAGTTTAAGGATGAAATTAAAATATCAAAAGTTTGATGACTAATATAGAATAAAGATCATAGTTCAGGGATAAATTTTATGGGTCAAATGCTTATTTAAGCCCATAAATAGATCTTTATAACTCACTAATTTATTGTTCTTCGCCCTATGTATCCACTCAGTTGCATTATATAGATGTTTTCTTTAGTATAATCATTCAAAAATATTGTCTTAGCATCTATTTATTAGATCTCACAATCGCAATAAATAAATAAAAACTGTGAATAGACTTCAGTATTATTACATATAAAATAAACCAAATGTGAATAATACAATTTTTTAACCTTTAGCCACAGATATATCCTTATAAGTTTCAACATTTCCTTGTGCATTTCCTTTCTCTAGGTCAACCATGAGCTAAGGTAGTCAACTAATTTTTGGTCAGACTAAATCTTTAAATTATTGCATTTAATTATTTTAAGTCATATTTTTTAGTTAGAAATTTTTTTTATTCAATAATATGTTGACATGTCACATAAAGTTAAGTACTTATTTTGAGTAAAAAAATAGTTTAGGGGCTTAAAGCAAAAAAGAATCATAGTTTAGGAACTTATTTTGACTAAAAAATAATGTAGATACTTAAATTGGTTACATATAATTGTTTAAGGACTAATTTTGATAAAAAAAATAGTTTAGGAGTTTAAGCCAAAAAGAGAAAGAATATAGTTTAGAGATTTTTTTTTTAATTTAAGCCTAAAAAATATATGCCTAATTCAATTACTAACTTGAAAATAAAATTACTTTTATAAGAAGGCGTGTTTTATTTAAAATATTAAATATATATTTAAACGGAATTTTATTTTACAATAATGTTGTGAAAAAAATACATCGAATAATGAATAATACAGGATGAAGCGATAACCATCATGCGTCTTCAAATGAAATGTGAGGAGACGCCAGAATCTCAGTGGGTCTCCCCTACCATGCATGAAAAGAACTAACATGCCTACAATGTGTCTCCCTTTCAAATAATATTGCAAATATTGGAATAGCATGATATTTCATGCGTATTAGGGTCAATTGCATAGATTTTAATGCGCCTTAGCCTTATACGGTATCAAATGCATTATTTAAATAAATAATTGTGGTTCATCATTATTCGAGCAAATTTATTTTTTCAGTTCATTATCGTAAAATATGTATCATATTTAAACTAATTTATATGCTAAGATCACCATCAAATTCAATTTACTTATTCTTAATTGGAAAAATATCAAATTAGATAGAATTTACAAAATAAAATTTATCAATTTGATTCCAATTTCTTGGAAATAAAATAAAATTGCCTAATAAAATCCATTTGAAGTCTAACGGCAATGTTAGGGGTACGAGCACCGGTAATATAAGGTTGTGATTTATCTCTAACGGCAAAGGAAAGTGTCCACAAGAGGTGTTGGGAGCAGCGTGTCATCGAAACCTACCATAGAAAATAGAAACCCATTATTTCACTAAGTAGCAGCAGAGCAATCACTTCCCTTGCTCCTCTGATTCAATCTTTAATGGCGTTCCTTGCTTCCTCTGCTTCGGTTGCTGCACTCATGCCTTTCAACAGTTCTCTCTCTCTGTCTCTCTATTATTGCTTTTTTGCTTTCTTACGATCTGTTTTTACAATAAATAGAAATTTCTTTTTCATCAGGACTTTTTAGCGTCGGAAAGGGTAAAAGATGGAATCGACTATGTACTGGTTACTCGGCTAGGTTAAGGGCTGGACCCTCCGCTTTATCCAGGTTCAGGGCATCCAGTTTTTCTTCAGCCGCGGCTGGAAATGCTGGCGGAGCTCCGCCGTTACCAGAAATATCTGAAGCTAATAAATCGCCTCCTCCTATTTACGCATGGCCTAATAAAAAGGTTTGATTCTTTAGTCCTTCCCACAAACATATGCTTTGATAATGTATGGACTAAGAACGGGCCATTGGAAATTCCCAATTACTCGATTTGACAAAAGTCATTCCAACTAATATGAAGCTCTGTTGTGAGGACCGATGAACTTGCAAAAATCCTGTCATATTTGTAAAATTATATATATATATGCGGTGACTTCCACGAATATGACATCATTACATAATGGTTTCTAGAACCTCTAAAGCTGGTACCTTTGGACATGATACAATGGTAAAGGGACAGTGTGCACCAAATCAATTTGACACAAGGAATTTGAGATTTTTTATTCTTGTGTGAGTTTGTGACGAATCTCTGTTTACAGAAGCCAAGGGTGTGCATTTTGGGCGGTGGATTTGGTGGTTTATATACTGCTTTAAGGCTAGAATCTCTTTTATGGCCTGAGGATAAGAAACCTCAGGTATGTTGAGATCAATTTTTTATTATTATTATTTACTTCACTGTTGTACTTTTCGAAACATTATATAGTCTTCAGAGTATGGATATTATGCCGGTAAAGGTGACTAGATATTTGAGAAATACAGTGTTTTTTGTTGTGTTTTAGCATGTAACCTTGAATTTGATAAGATGAATTTGTAAGAAATCCGTGAAGTTTAGAACCTTGAATACATGCATCTATTGATTGCTTCTCCATGATATGCGTACGGCATGTCTTTATCTTACGTCCCTTGATACCATTCCCCTTTTCCTGGTAAAAGAACATAGTATTTAAATACTGTTACCGTGACATTTCATTTTCACATGTTCTGAACTGATTTGGTTACTTAATCGAATGTGGGATCAGGTGCTTCTAGTTGACCAGTCTGAACGATTTGTTTTTAAACCAATGTTGTATGAGCTTATATCTGGAGGTATTTTTTCTGGATTAAATTCTGAGAACATGGTTTCTTGTTTCTACTGAAAATTTATTGTATTTTCTTTTCAAATGAAACCAAGAGTTCGATTGTTTTTTAACAATTTTTTGATGCAGAAGTAGATGCATGGGAAATTGCTCCTCGCTTTTCTGAGTTACTGGAAAACACGGGTGTTCAATTTCTCCAGGACAAGGTAAAACTATTACATCCGTCTGACCATTGGGGAATGAATGGCCATAAACAATCAAGTTGTGGTGGCACTGTGCTGCTTGAAAGCGGCCTTCTCATCGAGTATGACTGGTAAAATTTTGTTACCCTGTCCACCAATTGTAGTTGTTTATGATGAAAACTTTCTAGGTTGTCTTAAAGACCAATTATCATCGACTTGGTTGCTTCCTCCTCTTGTCTTGTGCTATATTTCTTGACCTAAATCCACTGAACTAAATATTATAAATATTCAATGTGAAAATGAAAATGTATTGGTCTTGTATGGTTCCAACACTATTATTCAATGCTCAGGAAACATTTATGAACTTTGCATAAGTGGTATTCTTGAGTAGCATACATGCATATTTGTTATTATTGTAATTGCTTGTATCTTCTGAATGCCCATCTGATACCATTTTTACCTTATCTTGGGCAGCCAGGTTGGTTCTTGCTTTGGGAGCTGAAACTAAACTTGATGTTGTACCTGGTGCTTTAGAGTTTGCAATACCATTCTCCACCCTAGAGGATGCATGTGTAAGTGTCCTCCAGCTACCCCTTGATATCTCGATGGAGTCTTCATTTAGCTTCTAGTTTGTTGCTGGATTATATCTTTTATATTCTTACATTTTATGTTTTGTTTTGTTTTTCTGCAGAAAGTTGACAATAAGTTAAAAACATTGGAGCGACTGAAGTTTGGTAAAGATTCTCTTATCCGTGTGGCTGTAGTTGGTTGTGGTTATTCCGGAGTGGAGTTAGCTGCTACTATCTCCGAGAGACTACAAGATAGAGGGATAGTTCAAGCTATTAATGTTGAAACCACTATCTGTCCAACTGCCCCAGTTGGAAATAGGGAAGCAGCCTTAAAAGTAAGATACTAACTAGAAAACATGAGAAATCTGGCCCTTTTTTCTTCTTATGTTACCATGGTTTATCATTATTAACGATAAATTCTGTAGAGAGTGGTTTATCTGTTTTAAAGAAGAAAAGGAGTTTGTATTGTTTTACATTTGAGTTATAGAGTTCATGTATGATGGTTGTATGACCAAGAATGCATGATCAGTTTCCCAAAATGGTAATGGGCTTAAATTTGGCATCAACGTTGATCCTTGAAATGCATGGATTTTCAAGTTATTTTGGGGAACCTATTAATCAGCGCATGCCTTTTTTCTGGTTACCTATTAATTTCCTTGCTGGAAAGTCCTATTTTTCTTGCATTAGGATAATCTAATTTGAAACACTACTTGTTCAACTTTTCCTTTTATTTGTAGATAAGGTACTGAAATTCTGCAAAAGCATGATATTTTTTTTATTGAACAGCATGTATTGCATTGTCATTTCAGTTTTAAGCAGAAGTTGATGCAGAAATGTCCTCATGTTGTTAATGCGCTCATTAATAAATATTATTTGAAAGAATCAGGCTTGGGAGCTTTGAGCCGAATGCGGTTAGATATGTCCATAAGCATCTAAGGTTCTTATGATCGTGTCTTATGCTTTATAAATTCACATGTTTGTAGTCTGTAAATTTCAGCTGTTGTATCAGCCTTAACTTAAGGTTTACAACGTTTCTGCTATTGAACTAGGTTCTTTCATCTAGGAAAGTGCAACTTCTACTGGGTTATTTTGTTCGTTGCATACGGAGGGTCTGCGACATGGAAGCTTCAGGAGATGCAACTGTGAAAAGAGAAGGCAAGGACATTGCAGAATCCAACTCTGAGAAATATGTTTTGGAGCTGCAACCTGCTGAAAAGGGATTAGAAAGTCAAATTCTGGAAGCAGACTTGGTATTATGGACAGTTGGGTCCAAAGCTCTTCTTCCTGAACTTGAACCCTCTGACAAACCCCACGAGCTTCCACTGAACGCCAGAGGACAAGCAGAAACTGATGAAATGCTCCGTGTTAAGGGCCACCCGCGTATATTTGCACTTGGTGACTCGTCTTCTCTAAGGGACTCAACTGGAAGGCTTCTGCCTGCCACAGCTCAGGTATAACATGCATGCTTTAGTGTTTTTGTAAGATTTGGTTATATATTTCCGTTTCACTGCTTGATGAAGCATTGCCAATTTCAAAACATTTTTGCTCTTATTTTTCTGAATGGAACTGAAGGTATTCTACGGATCCAGAACTGCAGCTTCCCAAACCTGTAATGTTTTCTACTTTGCTTTTTTTTGTTTGATTCACTTGCTTGGTTGTCTTTCCCAGGTTGCTTTTCAGCAAGCGGACTTTGCTGGTTGGAATCTATGGGCTGCCATTAATAATCGTCCATTGTTGCCATTTAGGTTAGAATTGTTAACACTTATGATGTGGCTAAGAAGAAAATCAGCAATAAAACAATAAAATTATGACTGGGAAAGATGGAACTCGAGAAAACTTAGGGTTATAAAAAACTTCTAGTTTTACTATTAATTCAAAGAAAATAATAAGAATAATTGTTTTGGTTTTTAAGCCTACAACTTTTTGTATAGGCTAGTTTTCTTGCAAGCAATGTTTAATCATCATAACCCTAGATCTAAACCCTAAAGATAACAAATAACCCTAGAAGTACTTAATAGCCCTAGCCTTTGCCGTCTATCATAAATCTTATAATAAAAAAACAAAAGAAAACTGAAATAATAAAAATAACATATAAAATTATGCTCCTGCATCATTAATATGAAAGTAAATTGCATGGCTTTGGCATGGAACCAGTGTTGTTTTAATTTTCTCTAAGCCATGTATCTTGATATTATTCTTCTTTCCCTCTGTACATCCTGTTTGCTATTGTGTTTTTTTCAATAAAGCATCCATACGATCCGCCACTCATTAAGATTTTACATATTGGTTGGTTTAATTGATTCCTTGAAATGCTTTCCAATATGAAAATACTCACACATGAATAGACATCATCCGTGCTGTTAAATTAGTCGAATATGTGAAGGAGGGGTGAAGTGATCTGAGATTTCCTCATTCAATTTAGTTCCCCCAAAAATAATGCTGCAGTTGCTTCATTTGCAATTTTTATTAAGAGTTGACCATACTTGGGTAGTTGTTTTAATAGTTAGTCATTGAAGTTTAGATTTTATCCTCCGGTCCTCTTTGTTCGCTCTGTTTTTGTTGGGTTGTTCATCATTCAGATAATACTACGCATTTATGTTAGTTTTTCACTTGAAATCACCACTTTTAATCTTTTATGTTCTTTTGCCGCAAGTCCTATCTTGTATATCAGAAAACTGATAGCGATGTGATGTTGGTCAACAGCATCTGATGGAGTGTGCTCATGCGTTTTGTCTACATGTGTCGATTTTCTTATGCCGAAGATCGGCACATTGTGTTAAGTTGTATTGAAGTTCTTGAACTGGAATAAGTAGTCTAAACCCAGCATATTTGATGACCAGATTCCAGAATCTTGGAGAGATGATGACCCTAGGTAGAAATGATGCAGCCATTTCACCAAGTTTCATTGATGGTCTAACCTTAGAGGGTCCTATTGGTCATGCCGGTAAGTTGTTTTGTGCATTGAGTTCTCCGAGTATATTGCCACTTTCTCTACATTTGCTTCTATTTCAAGTGTTTAACCAAATTTCCATGATCTCAGCAAGGAAATTAGCATACTTGATCAGATTACCGACAGATAAGCACCGGCTTAAGGTGGGGCTTAGTTGGTTTGCCAAATCGGCCATAGATTCAGTTGCATCGGTGCAGAGCACTCTAACAAAGGTTCTTTCAGGCTCATAGATAACTGTAACTCTGTTAGAAAGCTACATTAATTGGATTATTATTATTATTATTTATTACTATTATGGTTTTGATAGTAAAATTGGTTCGGTTTATTTGATTTTGATATATAAAAAACTGTACACCCCTAGCAACTATCACGATATGTTCCATTATTCTCAATCATTTACAGCATCATCTCGTTTTATTAATTACCAATATTTTAATATAAAGAGACTAGAAAACCTAGACAAATACAAACAATGCCTAGACACAACAAAAGGGAACCGGTTTCACCACTTGATTGAAAATTTCAAGGCATCCATGAAATAAAATTCAGTCATATTAGAAGATTACGTCGAGGCAAATGTGGTCGTCACAAATACAAACTCAAACATTCCTACCACTAAAAGGTATTGGTCATCAGATTGAAACAAAATAATTCGGTGGATAAATTCCGTAGAGGCGTAGACAATGAAAAATTGTCTCAAAATCCTGCAAGAAACTTAACAATTGTAAAATAATTTAATGTTCTTTAACAATAAATAAATTATGGATAACATCTTATAGTTATCGTTCAATGAAGTAATGCATTAAAAAAATTAAAATATTATTAGATTTTTTTTAGATAAATGCAAATTTCATTTTTCCAAGGGTTGCCAACCTATTACAAATAAACAAAGCAAGTATCCACTATACAACACAAAAGCATATACCGAACCAGCAACATATAGCAGATTCCATTCTATGCACAACCTATTATTAATTGAAGTAAGCCTATTGATATTCTTATCCAGCAATCGCCACCCAATCGTATCCCGAACTTGACTAACCAGCTCATGTACTGATCTTTAATTCCCTTAAAATATCTTCGTATTCCTCTCCCGCCAAATAGGTAAATGACCGAATTCTACGCAATCTTTAGCAGAACAGTGAGGAGAGACTTCCCCTTAAGTTTATTGATCGCCCAATTGAATTCAAAGCCCTGGCCTCCAACCCCTGCTTCAGATTGCAAGCAGCCCAGGTCAATACTCAAAACCTCTTTTGAATAAGAATACCAGAAGAACACATGATCTCGTCTTCTGATCACCATCACAGAAAACTCAGTCACTCTCAACTTGCAGATCAACAGAGAACAACCTACCTCTCGTAGCAATCTATCCAAAATAACCATCTAAGCAATCGCAGGATGTGCAGGGTGTGCCAGACCAAGTTATGCCAGGGAACTTTCACATTTCTAACTCTGACAGCAGTCCAAATTCTATCAAAAGCAACTCTAGAATATGATTATTAGATTTTTATTACACTCGTGTGATTATAATATAGATATGGTTTTTTCATTATGATATTAAAAGAAAGGTTATTTTAGTAGTTTTCTAATTGAATTGATGACCGAAATTTAATAATAGTATCGATTAAGGACTTGTTTAAAAAATTATTATGTAGTTAGGTTTTAGTGTAATTATACAGTCGTGACGTATTTAGTTTAGATAATTATCATAATTTATTTGCTTCTCTGAATCAGATAATAATCAAAAGAACGCAATTATATTCTTCAATTAATAGGAAGAGAGATGAATAATAGTGTTACTTTATTATTTAATTTCATAATTAATATTATTTTAGATATAAATGCATATGAATATATAATTATAACTTATACTATTAAATATGATATAGAATATTATAATGTGGTTATATTCTTGTCAATCATTCATATATATTTATAAGAATAATAATTACATATTTTCATACTAGTGCAAACATGGTTTAAAAGTTTACAACCATCATGAGTGAAGTTATTTTTGAAGGGATAAAATAAAAATATTTATTATTTGACAGTGAAAAAAATACTTCATAATTATTTTTGTTGAAATATTTTTAATATATTTAAATTTTAAATTCGGACCATTTCATGATCGATGCATGTATGGGACAATAATCCAATAAAAAAATAAAAACTTAAAGAGTAATTTAATAATTTTTCCCCTAAGGGGGTGTTTGGTTCAAGGAATGTGGGATTCCCATGGGATGAGAATTCCACATTCCCATGTTTAGTTGGCCGGGAATCTCATTCCCGGTAATGTTTTATTACCAATAGTGGATTTTTTGGGGTATATTACCGGGAATATCATTACCTTCCTTCCCTTAGGTATTGTAACATTACCGGCGTTTTGGACTAAAATGCCCTTAAATTTTTATTTTTTTTCAAAAATATCATTCTTCTGTCATTGAATAATAAAAATTCTACGAAGGTTAAATTACAAATTTATCCTTAAATTATTTTAGATTTACAAAAAAATCTATAATTAAAATTTTATATGAAGTTTAGGGGTTAAATTTTTTTTACCCTTTCATTAAACATTTTTTATATTTTTAATTTTGTAAAAAAATTATATAAATATTATGAATTTAATTTTTTAAAGAAAATATATAAATATTTTACAATTTGTAATATTATACAAATATATAATAAGGATAATTTGATCAAATATACATTCCAATAATCTTTTATTCCTTTAACCAAACACGGTAATCTTACATTCCTGCTAAACCAACCAAACACAAAATACAACATTCTCAGTAATCCTATTCTCTGATAATCTTTTATTCCCACTGGTAATCTTACATTCCGTGAACCAAACGCACCCTAATTGAGTGCGTCAGTGCGTGTGTGTGTTCATGTGTATAGGTAGAGGTAGGGGGCATAGATTACATCTGATTCAAGTATAACCTTTTTTCAAATTAAAGAAGAAAAAGAATGGAAATGAAGAAATTGGGAGGTTACGGAGGGGAGGTGAGAGTGTTGGAATGGGAAACAGAGTCGGGAGCTGCGGAGGAGACGATGCTGCTTTGGGGAATCCAACAGCCCACTTTCTCTAAACAAAACGCCTTCGTTTCCCACTCTTCTCTCCAACTCCGTCTCGATGCTTGCGGCCATTCTCTCTCCATTCTCCAGTCTCCTTCTTCCTTGGTACCCCCGCATTCTCTTTCCCTTTTCTTTTTAATTTTACTCTACAAACACAAAATGGAGGAGTTCGATTGTTCTGACTTTTTCCTTCATATTGTAAATTCTGCTAAATACTTCTATTTAGCCACTAGGGGCGATTGAGCTGATTTCTTCAGGCTATTAATAGATTTTGCAAAGCATTTTGGTACTTACCACTTTCCCCGAATTTTTAATCAAACCAGGAAGACATTTGGACATTTTTAAGTATTCCTTAATTTTTTTGATAAATCGTGTTTTCTGACGTCATCTCCCCTCCCCCGAAATTTCTGCAGGGAAAACCTGGAGTAACTGGGGCAGTCATGTGGGATAGTGGAGTTGTGTTAGGGAAATTTCTTGAGCATGCTGTGGACTTGGGGATGCTTGTTCTTCAGGGCAAGAAGGTCGTTGAATTGGGTTCTGGCTGTGGATTAGCAGGGTACTTTTAATAACTTTTATGGCCTAAAATTGAATTCTTTTTACTTCGTATTTTTCTGAAATTGACATGGCTCTTCAATAAGGATAAACTGGAAACTGACTTGTGAAGCTCTTTCATGGCAGTCATATTTGGTTTAACTGATTCTAGCTGTCATGTTTAGCAGCAGGATTTTAGTCTTCTTGAATTGGCATATCTTACACATAGGATTCGTGATTTTAGTTTCTATTTAGAAGTATAAAGATTTTAATGAAAGACGTTTTCGTTTCTCACTTAGTGAGTGTTATTTGCATTTTCAGTTGTATAGGAGCTCTTTTAGGTGCTCAAGTTATCCTCACTGATCTGCCTGATAGACTGAAGTTACTTAAAAAGAATGTTGAGACCAACCTGCGACATGGAGTGCGGGGTTCTGCTGCTGTGAAGGAACTCACTTGGGGCGATGACCCTGATGATGATTTGATTGAACCTTCACCTGATTATGGTATTAAGATTCTCTTATTCCTTCCTAGTTACAAGCTTCTGCACTGTTAAGTTACAGCTGCACAGTTTGCTAATAAAAACAGGGATTCTGTTTTTCCATGATTATGTAATAAAGGATGGATTTTCTGGTGTTAGTGGAATGTTCCAACCGAACTTTGTTAGGTACAAAAGGCATGTGTTTTATTAAAATCACCTTGCCTGAAGGGGCAAAAGTGCTTTGTTTTATATGAGCTGCATCTTAGCACCTAGATTTGTGCCTCGACTAAACAGAATTTTAGATTTTGTGCCTCATTTTTACCAATCAGCTGAGTTTTACTTCTACTTTAAATGGTTATTAGCATTTACCTGAATCAGTGTTGTCAAGGTGTGTGGCTAGGCATGCCTACACCTTGCGTCTTAGTGTTAAACAACAAAAACGCTATAAATCTTCAGTTGAGGCACATTTGATTTGGCAAACACCTAGTGCGTTGCTTCTTGGCTTTTTTGTTTGTTTGTAAGGTGATGGTCATAAGAAAAGCCTGTTTAATTGAATTTCTTTTAATTTCTCTTACTTTTAACTTTCTTTATTAAATGTACCTTTACTAGTGAAAAGGTATAGTATCAAACTTTCACTTCTCAATATTTGAGTTTTCAACAACAAAACTAGGACCATAAGGAAATCATATTGTCCAAAAACAAATTTGTGCTATTGTTTTGTAGATAAACTATACCACACTTTAGAGTTTATTATCATAACTATATATTTTAAGCTTCTTTCATATATACACACACGCAAAAATATACATACATACATACACTTTGTAGCCTTCTTGGGAAATCTCCTGTAGGATTTTTCTTAGTAGAATTCTATAGTCTCAATTAACTATCTGATGAAGCTAATGCTGAATGCTTGTTCTTATAATAAAAGGAATTGAAATGATAGAATGGAGTGGATTAGTCATCAAGATGTGCTCTTTTAGCCATTGTCCTGTATGATATTCTCATTTACACGTTGCTATTTTCGCCAAGGTCCATTGGCTAAAAGTTTGAGGGGTTGGAACTTTTGCTCTATTAGTATAAAGACTAGTGACACTTGATATTACCTATAGTTAAAAGACCAAAGATATCCTTACCTTTGGATCATAACGGATTAGTAGATAATTTCATTGCCACCTGGCAAGAACAATGTGTTGAAATTGAATTGGTGTTTGTAGTCACAGTGCTGAACTCCTTTGATGAACATTTGGAGATTTCTCATGAGATCATAAATATTCAATCAAATTTAATCTTGTATTTATTGATAAGTTACGTGTACCTCTTTTCTAGTACTAGGGTCGGATGTGATATACAGTGAAGGAGCAGTTGTGGATTTACTGGACACCCTTATACAACTATGTGGACAACAAACGACAGTGTTTTTATCAGGAGAACTTCGAAACGGTTAGGATTTCTGCCTCACACAAACATGCGTACTTTCATACATGCATACACATGCACTTCTCTTAGACTTTGCTTGGTTGGGTGGAAAAGTGGAGAGAAAATTAATTGAGTGCTCAGTTGGAAAGAGAAGTGAGGATAAAGAAAATGAGAGGGATGATCATTTTTCATCCCCGTATGTAAAAATAAATCATTCCGATTTGGAAGGAAAAGATGAGAGTAAATGTGAGACAGATGTGATTTAGTTCAAAATATGTACTTTTCAAAACTTAATTTTCTGTACCAAGCGACCAATGTAAAGAAAAATAATATTTTTTCATATTTTCACTTTTCTACCCCTTTCAATTTTTCATCCTTACAATTTTCTTTTCACTCTACCAAGAAAAGCCTTTCTGATTTGTTACTTTTGATTCATAAACTGCAGATACCGTCCTTGAATGCTTTTTAGAAGCTGCAGTGAAGGATTTTGTGGTTGGGCGCGTTGATCAGTCACAGTGGCATCCAGACTATCGTACTCCGAGGGTTGTGATGTACATCCTAGTGAAGAAGAGAGGTTCGGCCAGCATATTTTGAGCAGACAGTAGTCGGCTATTCATTCAGCCAAACTTGGAACATGTTTGAAAAAGCTAATTCGATCTTTTCGTCACAGAAAAGAATGAGCACATTTTCACGTGCTTAATGACGCTTTGGCTTTGCTTGCTGTATGCTTGTAGCTATCAATACCTTTTTCCCGATCTTTGCTAGATTATCCTTGGATGTCCTCCTATGGTATTTTTTTAATTATTTAGGAATAATTACAGTTACGATGATATTGTTTGGGTTTTTTTAGCTTTTGAAAACTTGTGATTTTAGTTTTAAACGCTATCAAATGGTTACACCGTTACTTTTAGGGGAGTTTGGTTGGGGGAATTCATATTCTCCCGATTGGTTAGTCGAAAATCTCATTCTCGGTAATGTAAGATTATTTATAGTGGATTTTTTGGGTATATTATCGGGAATGTCATTACCTTCCTTTCTTTAGGTATTGTTGGATTATTGGCGTTTTGGACTAAAATGCCCTTAATTTTTTTCCAAAAATATTATTCTTCTGTTATTGAATAATAAAAATTTTACGAATGTTATATTACAAATTTATCTTTAAATTATTTTAGATTAGAATTTTATATGAAGTTCAGGGGTTAAAATAAAATTTTACCATTTCATTAAATCTTTTTATATTTTTAATTTTGTACAAAAATTATATAAATTAAATAAATTTAAATTTTTTAAAGAAAATATATAAATATTTTCTAACTTGTTAAAAAAACAAATATATAATAAAGATAATTTGATCAAATATATATTTCAATAATATTTTATTTCTTTAACCAAAAGCGGTAATTTAATATTTCTGCTAAACGAACCAAATGCAACATTCCCAGTAATCCTATTCCCTGGTAATCTTATATTTTTACTGATAACCTTATATCCGTGAGCCAAAGGGATATTCGTGAACCAAAGACACCCTTATTACCAACAGGATTTGTTATGGGAAATTGTACAGTGAAGCTCTGGATTTCACGAACCAACACCTCTTCCAAGTCTACACGTGATTTTTTTTTCCAAAGGTCTAACCTTATAAAAAAAATTTAATATTCTTTTAATCATCGAGTACTCAGTGACTAGTTTACTTCTTTAAGTCCTTATGTTTTATTCTAAGCTAAATAGAATTTAGTATTTTCAATTGAAATTAAAAGTAAATCAAATTTTGATAATGGGTTGGAGAAATCAATATTTTGTCGAATTTCACAACTCGTATGAATAGTTAACATAATTTGAATAATGTCAGCTTAATAGTCAAAAACATAACTTTTAACATTGTTAGATGACTTAAAGTTAGAATTTAAACTCCTCACACTAATATAGCAAAGGAGGGGCACAAAAATTATCAAATTAAAATATATGGCTTAAATTCCTAATTTAATGACAGTATAAGGACTACACTCATAAATTAAACTTTCAAATATAAAACGGAAATTCAAAAATTTCAAATATATAAGTGAAAGTGGGAAATTAATAAGCTCCCGGGAACTCCAAAGCTTGCGGAAGAAGCCCTGATGCAGGCGAACGGATTTGATGGAAACGCGGCCTTTTCTGGCGGCGGATTCATGCCTTCTCAAGCCACTCAGTCCGTTCCCGATCGGCCCTCCTCCAAAGTATAACCAGTTTTTAGCATTTTTTGTATTTCTTTCTCTTTTTCCAGCTTTTGTTGTTTTTCTTTTATTTTTTAATTACTAGTTTTTCTTATAATAGTTCTTGTGTGTGTTCATGGAATTTTTGTTTTGCGTTTTGTTTATCTTTCATATGGTTATTAATCGCGTAATAAATCTAACAGCTAGCGGAGAACATGGAAATTAAGTAGATGCTAAATATTTCTGGTTTGATGTTGATAGTTCTTTCAATTGCTTATTTGTTATTTATTTCATATTTAATTTAATCTTTTATTTTTATTTTTAGTTACTTCTGTTGCTTGTTGCAGAAGATAAATTATAAAAAGTAAAAGCAAGTTAATTGTTAATATATAAAAAATGATTATCATGTAACTCGAATTATGGTTAAAATATAAATGATTACTTTCGAGTTAAAATGGTTTCAAAGAAAAACTTAGTAGTTAACTAGTGATCAAACTAATTATAAGATCCCCCCCCCCCTTTTTGCTTGAAGTATTGACGTGAAATTCGATTCTTTGTTTCACTGTAGTTCTCATGAGCTGAAAAGGTTTTACCATTATTAATTTGAAATTCTCAGAACAGTGATACAAGGTGCTTGATTCCACTCACAGTGAAGCAGTTGAAAGATCTCTCAAGAGGTGGAGAATCTGGTATTTCCATTGATGGCGTTGATGTCAACAATGTAGTCTTTGATCCCATTCTTTTCTTATTTTGCATAAATACTCAATAATTATCTAAATGGGTTTTGAAATTTGGTTTATTGTTCTTAGATTGTGCTAGTGGGGATGGTATCCAAGATAGACAATGCTGTCTCAGTTTGTACTTTTAGGGTTGATGATGGCACAGGATGGGTTGAATGCACCAAATGGTTCATCTTTTCTCTCTTTCTTTTGGTTATTCGGTTTACTTTTTAGTTTTCGGATATGCAGTTTAATAACTTGATTCTATGCTACGATATGCTTTGTTTTATGTTGTGTAGGATTCATGAACATGTAGACTCAGCTGAAGTAGATGTGATCTCGTAAGTTATTTGTCATTTTACTTCTAAGTTTATGTAGTCTAATTTGATATATAGGTCTAATTACTTTCATTGTTCAAGAATACCAAAAAATGCAACAGAGTTTAGTGTTGCAATTCCAATGCGTGGACCATTGGCGTTTTTAATGGTTGATTTTTGGGCAAACTAATGAAATCTTGGTAATCAGTATGTGCAAATTGCGAATCAAGTGGTTTATTCCATCCCAGGGTTGGAATTTCCAATTGTTAGGATTTTCGGAAGCTCGAATCGACAACCGGAACGGTTTGCAAAGAGGGGTCGAAACGGTTTTGTGTTTAGGGAGTAAGGAGATTGAAAGATAGAGAATTGCACAGCGATTTATAGTGGTTGTTCGACTTTCTCAATCAAAGTCTACGTCCACTACTTTAGCTCCTCACCAAGGATTTTCCAACAAATTCACTAATTTGTTATTTCTTTTGAGGATAAAGAGTAACCTTACAAACCCCCTAGTTTTTCCGGGCTAAACTAGAACCTTTCTCTAGCTTTTACACGGGATTAGCTAGAACCTTTCCCCTTTACAAAAAGATAAGAAATGTAAACAAGAAAACCTCTCTAAAGTAGGTATTTACAAGAATTAAGCTCACAAGTACAAAATATTTACAAGAGAAAGATGAAATAAGAATGAAAAACTCTTCTCATGTATTTGATTGCTTGGAGGTTGTTCTCTTACTTCTTCAAGTGTCCTTAGCTTGTATTTATAGCTTGGAATCTGTTTGATGTCGTATATAACCGTTGGGGATGTTTTGGAGCCGTTTGGGGATGATTTTCTACTTAAAAAGGTTGCCCATAACATGGTGCATGTGCACTATCAAGGTGCATCGATACCCTTTCATTAAATTCAAATAAACTAGTCGTTACTAGCTGTTGTAGCCTTGGTGCATGGATGCACATCAGGATGCATCGATGCACTAAGTGCATTCGAAATGGAGTGCATGGATGCACTACATGGTGTATCGATGCACTAGTGGCAGGTGCATGGATGCACTTTGACACCCTTTAGCATTTTGGCTCAAATCCGAATTTAATGGACTTTGAATTATTTTTGAAACCTTTTAAAACTTTGAATAAATTTAATTAAGTCCAAAAATCATTTTGTAAATTCAATTCAAGTCCAAAAACCATTTTGCCTTAAATTGTTATATCAAAACATAGTTCAACAATCTCCTTCTTTTCGATATAACAAAACATTTGAAAATTGTTTTTGGCAAAACTCCCTCTTAATAAATTGTTTAATGAAAAATATATCAATTGTTAACAATTGTTGGAAAATATATGAAAATGTTAAGCTCCCCTTTTTCATTAAGAAATTGAATTTTTCAAACCAAACTTCTCCCTCTTTTTGTTATATCAAAAATAATTCAATCTTTGAAGTTTAAAATAACTTTGGAGAGTAAGCGGTAAATTTGACATTTAAAAATCATTTGAAAAATCAAAGTTCCCCTCAATAATAGAATTCCAAACAAAATTTAGCTTTTAATATCATGACACTTAAACAAAATTGAATTTCAACAAAGAATAACAAACATGTTAGCAGCACATGAAATTCAATACATCCAAGTCTAAAATATTTTATGCAATATCAATTATTGAAATTAAGTTCATATGCATAAAGTTTTCCAAAAATGTTATGCATTTGAAAATTTTGATATCAATTGTTAGAGATATATCTTTTTCATTTTAAATCACATGCATAAACATTTAAATTTAGGTCAAAATTTAAAATTTATAAAATCAAAGTATTTGAAAAGTTGATATCAATTGTTAGAGAGATATCGTTTGCATTTAAAACTAATTTTGACCAAAATTTTATTATGATGAACTAAAAATTCTGAAAAATCATTTAAAACTTTAAAATGTTCATCATAAAACATCTTTTCAACATACATGAGATTAAAATAATACATAATCATTCAAAATCAAAACCCATGCATGCATAAATCCAAATGAGCAACCAAATAACCAAAATCAAAAGCATTAAGTTTAGAGGTTACCCATTCCTTTTTCATGTGTGGCTAGAGCATCTTGAATATCATCACTTTTATCACCATTGCTCCCACACACCTCGAATTCTTCTTGAGTGGCCATGAGGCATAGGTTGACTACTTCATTTTCATCATTGAAATTATCTTCATCGCTCCATGATGCAACAAATGCCTTATTCTCCTTTTCTTTAGAAGAGGACATTCATACTTGACATGCCCCTTTCTTTGACAATTGAAGCACATCGGGAGACTCTTCTTCTTGGTTGATTCATGTTTCACTTCCTTGGAAATCATGAATCTCTTGAGTTCCTTCAAGAGCTTGATCATCTCTTCTTCTTGTTCATCATCGTCTTCATCCACTTCATTACTTGAATCTTGATAGCTTTCATTGGTGGATTTGAAGGCAATGCCTTCCTCATTCTTCTTCTTGTTTTTCTTCTCTTCCCTTTCTTCATCTTCCTTCACCATCATCTTATGAGTGAGAAGGGAACCAATTAGCTCGTCGAGAGTGAGAGACTTTAAGTTTCTTGCTTCGATAATGGTCGTCTTCTTCGATTGCCACTCCTTTGGAAGAGAGTAGATCATCTTCCTCACAAGATTCTCATTAGGGATTACTTCTCCATATCCCTTGAGACCGTTAACAATCACAGAAAATCTATTCGTTATAGCTTTGATGTCTTCATCGGGTTTCATCTTGAAGTTCTCGTAGCTATGGTTAATAAGACTTTTCTTTGATTCCCTCACTTCGTCGGTTCCTTTATGAGTGACTTGGAGCTTATCCCAAATCTCTTTGGCACTGGAACAAGATGAGATTCTTCCATATTCATTTGGGCCTAAAACACATAATAGAATATGTATAGCCTTAGAGTTAAGCTGTAAATTTTTCTGATATTCTCTACTTCAATCGTTGTACTAGCCGGGTGGAGAGAAGTAACCGTCCATGATTGAGTTCCAAGCTCCTAGATTGTAGGATTGAATAAAGTACATCATCTTATTCTTCCAATATGCATAATTTGCTCCATTGAAGAAGGATGGCTTGTTGACCGGTTGTGAATCCATAATGGGATATTCTTCAAGATAATAAGCATCGGAGGAAAAAAATCATTTCTTTGTCGGTTGCGTCAGAAATTGGTAGAGCTTCTTCGAGGATCGTCTCAAGGTGGTTAAACCTTCTTAACAAGTTACGCTCTGATGCCAATTTTTAGGATTTTTGGAAGCTTGAATCGATAATCGGAACGGTTTGCAAAGAGGGGTAGAAACGGTTTTGTGTTTAGGGAGTAAGGAGATTGAAAGATAGAGAATTGCACATCGATTTATAGTGGTTCGACTTTCTCAATCAAAGTCTACGTCCACTACCTTAGCTCCTCACCAAGGATTTTCCAACAAATTTACTAATTTGTTCTTTCTTTTGAGGATAAAGAGTAACCTTACAAACCCCCTAGTTTTTCCAGGCTAAACTAGAACCTTTCCCTTTTACAAAAAGATAAGAAATGTAAACAGGAAAACCTCTCTAAGGTAGGTGTTTACAAGAATTAAGCTCACAAGAACAAAATATTTACAAAAGAAAGATGAAATAAGAATGAAAAACTCTCCTCTTGTATTTGATTGCTTGGATGGTTGTTCTCTTATTTCTTCAAGTGTCCTTAACTTGTATTTATAGCTTGGAATGTGTTTGATGTCGTATATAACCGTTGAGGATGTTTTGGAGCTGTTTGGGGATGATTTTTCTACTCAAAAAGGCTGCCCATAACATGGTACATCGGTGCACTATTAAGGTGCATCGATACCCCTATATTAAATTCAAATAAACTAGCCGTTACTAGCCGTTGCAACCTTGGTACATGGATGCACAGCAGGATGCATCGATGCACAATAGGATGTATCGATGCACTAAGTGCATTCGAAATGGAGTGCATGGATGAACTACATGGTGCATCGATGCACTAGTGGCATGTGCATGGATGCACTGCAGGGGTGCATGGATGCACTTTGACACCCTTTAGCATTTTGGCTCAAATCCGAATTTAATGGACTTTGAATTATTTTTGAAACCTTTTAAAACTTTGAATAAATTCAATTAAGTCCAAAAACCATTTTGTAAATTCAATTCAAGTCCAAAAACCATTTTGCCTTAAATTGTTATATCAAAACATAGTTCAACAATGTTCGTGTCCGTGGCCACTTAAAATGCATTCAAAGTAGAAGGACTTTACACACCTTTTCAATTCGGTATGAATTCAAAAAAAATTCTTCTTTTCACCTTTTCTTTTAATGTCGGAGAGAAAACATCTTTGGGAGCCTTGTTTAATTCTTTTCTTGCAGCATTTACATCACCATTTTTTCAGATAAATAAGATTAATATATCTTTGCAGAAAAAATATCTTTTTGGTATGTTTGTTGAAAAGGGAAGAGCGTTGCAATCCTTTACTTGGACGTTTCTGCTAGAACTAGGTCAAATTTTGGTTTTCATCTATAATGTATTGTACTCAACTTGGAAATTTAGATATTTTACTTAATTTTTGGCATAATTTATCATTAGAAATTTTTTTCGTTAATTGGCTGATGTTGAATTAAAAGAAATCCAAATCATGACATTAAGCTAGATTTTTTTTTGAAATGACAAATTAATTGCAAAAAACTATCTTGATAACCATAATTTTACTTTTAAATGACATAATTATTTAACTGAGTTAGTGATTTGGACTAAGACATAACATTAATAATAGTAAGAGGAACAAATCCTCAAATTGAGTATAATACATGGATGAAAACCATAATTTGACTATTAGAACTATAATTTCTCTTAGGATGGTGGTTTGATGAATGAAGATAGTAACCGTTGTTTTAAAGTTGATCAACTAACTTTTAAGGGAAGGGATAAGTGGGTTGGATGTGTAGAGCACTGAGATGATGGAGGTTTCTTGGGCAAGGGTACTAAATGCTTAAATATATTCGATTGTATATCCTTATGAATATTGTATTAACATGTTAATTAAATTAAATTAAATTCGAAGTGAATTAATTTCTTTTTGAATGGTATGAGATGATTATAAAATTAGTATATGTTTAGATTTTTTCTTAATTATTGACCCTACAAATACAACTGTTCGAACTTACGACCTTAAGAAAAAATAACACTCTCCTTAACCACTAAATCAACTCAATGGATTCGAAGTTAATCAATGTTGAACGGGAATACAGTGGAGTTGATGTATAAATAGAAGTAAACTTTGTTTGTTGATAACAGTTAGATATGGCTGTGACGTTAATCCATTTCTTAATATGGAGTCTTTGTACAATGCTTTGGGTCATCATACCATGCAACATCAACCAAATTAAAAGAATTGCAATATTCTTACACATGCAGCAGCAAAATGTTAATTACAAAATTACAAATTATCTGGAAGGTGGCATTGTTTAAACAAATATATGATAGTAATTTAACTTTATTACTAAGATAAAAACATCTTGTTCTAACTTTTTTTCTCAATTATATCATAAAATGGTTGGTAAATTTTAAAAATTTTGATCCCAGTAAATAAGTGAAACATTTCATCAGAATTTTCTTTTTAAATATTGAATTGCACTAATTTAATATTTTTAGTTTAGCTCTCATTATATGATCTATTGATAGATTAATCTGAATTGAATATTGTAACGGTCTATTATGAGATGACTCTCTCAACTCAATTTTCTTCATACACGACAACAAAATTTAATTTTTTTAATTTTGTCTAAAAGATGTAGCCTCTTTGATAATGTACTAATCTAGCATTTATATATGAGATAAATGTTCACATATATTTTTTACAGAATGGTTATTTCATACATTACGTTGAATAGATATTTTTTTTGTCTTTAGGTATATATACAACGTATGAAATATATTAATTATTAAGTGATAACGTTGAGTGTTTATGTTTTATGAATATTCTATTACTTGGAATATTCAACAAGTAGCTAAGGTTATATTTGTTTCACGTCAATATTGTTTTAAAAGAATAGTTTAAAAAATAGTTTATTTAAAAAAATATTTTTATTAAAAAATTAAAAGAGAAAGATTTTTAGTATGGGGGCAATTTTCATGGGCAAACATGCTTCAATTATAATCCCTTAGAGAAGCTTAGCTTTCTTGCTGTAGGGGTGATTGTCATGGGCAAATCTTGCTTTGGTTTTGCCATTTCTTGAGGATAATTTTCACAACCAACTCTCCCCTATTTCTTGCCTGTCTTCTGTTCCTCTCTAGTAAACTTCTCTTATATAGTTTTAGCTCATGAAACCTACTTTACCCCACAATTTGCCTTATAATTTTGGTTATGCCTGATATTGATTTCCACCCTAAACCCATGAAGCTCTTTGGCTTCAACATCGTCGAAAGCACCGCCGACGATTCAACCAAGCCTCTCGCAGGATTCCCGGAACTCGAACCGGATGCTCAAAAATACGAGTGCCAATACTGTTGCAGGGAGTTTGCCAACTCTCAAGCCCTAGGAGGTCACCAAAATGCTCACAAGAAGGAAAGGCGGCTACTAAAACGAGCTCAAATAATAGCTGCTACCCGGAATTCCATGATATCGGCTTTTACGCGTCCGTCGCACCTCTTTTCCGCGTCGATGCTTCCGGCACCGCCGCAGTATCGTTCTTCATTTTACATGCCAGGTGGAGGAGGAGGTGCCCCGTTGCGTATGTTGCATGGTGGCAAGTACCATTGTGGGCCGCGTTTATATACAGGAGAAGGAAGGGAGACCATGGCAGCTGCGTTGTCCGGTGATGTTCGGGATCATACCAGAGTTTTTCCGATGGGGCAATTCAGAGAAGACGATGGTGGGGCTAAGGTTGATAATGGATTAGGTCTTGATTTACATCTTAGTCTTGGATCGTCCGTGCCATAAAATAAAAACCATTATACGGCCTTACAACAAGTTTAAATTTTATAGAATTGAAGTTGTTAAATGTAAGCTGTCTTGTTATCATCTAATATTTTATTGATCACTGTGAACTTTTTATTTTCTTGAGTGAGGCTATTATGTATATGGATTTCTCGTTAAAACATTTAAAATCTAACGGATAATATATAAATATATAAAATGCATTTTCGTAATAATTCTAGGCAGGAGCGTGACGAATTCTCTCTAAATCTGAATTCGATCAACCTAGCTCAAATAAATCAGACTTGAATGGACAAGATTGTGTTCATGTTCATTTGTTTTTTTTAAAGGTGTTGACATTTTCATTTATATATTCGTGAGCATATTTGTTTAGAATTTGTCAACATGTTTGTCCACCGCTCTCGATTCATTTAGAGTTTAACATGATTTTTGGGGCGATTCATAATTTACCCAAAGACCAAGGCGAAATGGCAAGGGTGTGGTTAGACCAATGCCAAGAGGAACATGTTTGAGTTCCCTCAACAACCAACACTCTTTTTAATCCTTACCGGTCAAAGAAAAATGATGAAATTACGTTACTAGTCCTTAAACTCTTTAGACTTCACAATTTAAACTCTAAAGTTCATCCTATTTTCATTTTTGTCTCTTCCATTATCAATATTTAAAATGTAAAAAAAGAAAGGAAAAAAAAAGAACTGGGTAAACGAGATTATAAACGAATTGATAAATGAGCTTTTAAATGAACCAATAAATGAGCTTATTCGTGATTATAAACAAACGAACACGAACTGATCATATATTTATTCGTGTTCGCTCGTTTATTAAATGAAAATAAAATGTTTCTTTATACTTATTTAGTTAACTTAATAAACGGTCATAAATGAATGTTATATGAATTATTCACGAACAATTCATCAAACATTTTGTTCATTTACACCTCTCACTCGACTCATATACTAAAAAAATAATAAAATAGAACTCATTAACTTGATAAATATTACCATAAAGATTTTTTTGCGAAAGAAATAAGCCATCTACAATGATAATGAATGGGTGGTTGTGATGCAGGACTGTGTGCTCTTATCAGCTGTGTCCAATGATTCCAATAAGTCGGGCTTAGGTTGTAGCCAATCAGATTTAGCTCTGGATTCAATAAATGGTGGCAACACTTTTACGTACCTACGTTGTTTCCTTTCGATAACTGATAATTTCTAGCTTAAGGTAAAATATATTTTAAATCATTTAATTATTATTCAAGTTACAAATGAGTCAAATCTATTGAATGGTGGTATAAGTGATAAAAATACAACGTTATCCTCCTTACAAGTATTGAGTTCATGCTACCACATCTATAGGGTGTGTATATGAGTTTAAACGAGTCATCTCAATTCATATATCAAATATATAGTTTTGATATATGAATTTATAAATTTTATGTCACTTAATTATGATATAAAAGAAGTAACAGAAAGAATATCACAGAAATGACTTATGACGTAGGGAAGACTGATTGTGAGTCAAATATGTGAGGATGGAAAGGTTGAATTAAGGCAAAAGAACGTGAGTTGGCCTTTGTTTTTGTGTGTCGAATATCCTAAACCTATAATGTCTCCCCAAATAAATAAACCCTAAATGTGGATATGAAGAAGAACCACACAAAGCGGGAGGAAAAGGTCCCTTCTCTTGTGTATGTATTTGAAATTGTTAGCATAATGACAATTTTCAATAAATGTCTTTGCCCACTTTCTTTTGGTTTTATCTCTTCAACTTGTAATTTTCAATAAATCATTATCCGATATTTTTTAAATAAAATATTATCTTATATTCCCTCTAAAATAATGAAAATAACATTTAATTGTGACATTAAAGCCGCTCAATGGATTGAGAATCTTTTGTTTTGAATCTTAGGAAATAATGTTAAATAAAAGTTAATAATTAAATTAAGAAATAATGAAATGAAGATTAAGAAAAGTGGTTGTTGGTTCACTACAAAGTTAGTGCCGGGTGGGTTGCACGGGCACAAGGGCTCCGCTTTGTGATATATAATGGAAATGGGCTGTGGCTGTACTTGTTATTGTCAGTCGCTTGTCTTCGTATGTATATAATGTCTAAAACCCTTTTGGCTTAATTATTAGCTGTTATTTTCTATTCGGTTACCACAATGTTAGACTAGACCTAACCTAATGCCAGTCTGGCTTCGGACAAGGCACTTCTTATTTTAATAATGAACTAATATATATTATTTAAACTTATTATAAAATATGTAAATATTAATATATAGATATTTTTAATATCTTGTTATTTATAAGGGCAAATTGTGCGTGTAGTACCTAAACTATTAGTTTGGGTTGGTTTTAACATCTAAACTTTCATATTTTTTAAAGTCATGCCTAACATTTGTTTTTTTTTTCATTTTAGTACCCGTCTTTAAAAACTTAACGGATAGGCTGATGTGGCATAACTCCGGTGGACGGAAGACCAATATGAATGGTGGACCACGAGAGAATGAAGAGTCGACTAATATATTCCAGTTTCAGGCCCATCAAATGGTGGATTATGAAGATCGAATGATGAAGAAATCGAAAAGGTTGATTTGGAAAGATTGAGGCGTTTTTCGGTGAAACGGAAGTCAGAATCGCGTTAAGAGAGTAAAAAAAGTATGTGCTGGAAAGTTTGGGCTTCATCGACCGACGAATGTGACGGTTGGCGACTGCAAACGAGACGGTCGACGAGTCAATCTATTAAGTTTTTAACGACGGTATACTAAAATAAATCGAAATTGATAGTTTGTATAGTTTACCGTCCTTTTACATAGTAAAACGAGTTACGTTAAAAATGTACACTCGATAATTTTAGACGTGCAGATAGATTGCACAGAAGAAAATTAGGGTAAACTCACCGTTAGTCATCCAACTATCACTGTTTTTCTATTTTTTGTTGATTAAACTATTTGTTTTTACTCTGATCACTTTCTATTAAGTTTTCGTTAAACTTAATAGAAATGATGACTTGGTCTGGTATAATAACATATTTAATTATGAAAACTTATATATTCTATCAATTTAGTCCTAATTCAAATAACTCAATAAATTTATTAAACATTTTAAATATTTAGGTCAAACTTTAAATTTTTCTCATTTTTCATCCTCACTTCCATTGTTCATCTTTTTCTTCCAAACTTTTTTGAAAACTCGCGAGATATAGCAGCGGATCCACAACTATTTGGGTATGTGTTCATCCTAAAACTTTTATGTTTACCTATTTAAAATTTTGTGTTATTAACGTATATTCTTTGAATTCAAACATACATATGCTATTGACTTGAATCTTACTAGTGCAATACTCAAACTCTCTGTTATTATAATGAATCTTAGGTTTAAAACAGAAAATAAATGTGTAATAAATATTAAGGGATGAGAAAAATTAAATTTAACTTAAAAATTTATTTTAGTTTAAGTCGAGTCTAAATTTGTAAAGTTCTAATAATAAAAAACTAAAATTTAAAACGACGTTATTTTGGTCTTTAACTTGTTAATTTGATCATTTTATGATTTGGTCTGTAATTTTCTTATTTGTTGAGTTACTCATTTAGTTTAAGTCAAATTTAGACCACATTTTCTTCAACCACAGTGGAATACATGTGCAACTTTAATCTCTAATTTTGACAATAATTTATTCTTTTTCCAATTTGATCATTTAATTTTGTATTTTATTCAATTTGATCATTTGACCGTAAATTATGTCTCCTCGTCAATTACTTGACTCCTTTATAACCTGTCAACACTTTGTCATCAAAATTCATTTTTTTTAAAAATAATATTATAAATATATTATATAATTTTATAAGGTATTTGAATTATTAAATAACATTAAAAATCTTATGTTTTAATGTGAAATTTATATATATATATATATATATATATATATATAGTTAGATAGGACCATTTAAATTGGAATAAATCAATATTATAATACTATAAATAAATATATTTGAACTTGAGTAATAACTCTAACAAATATATTCGATTCAACTTGACTTTAATTTCATAAACTCGACTTGAAAATATTTCAAATAAAATTTTAAAGATAAAAAGATACTCGTAAACTTGATTAATTCAAATATTTTTCATTCAACTCGACTCGGTTGACTAAAATGATACTCAATCCTAATTAGGGGTAAGTGTTCCATCAAGTCAAGTAAAAAAAATTCGAGTTATTCGAGTTGACCATTCCTATTTTATAAGTCAAACTTAATTTAAATTTTTTTCAAGTAGAGTCGAGTTTATAAAATTCGAGTCGAGTCTATTTGTTTGAGTTTCTGTTTAAATTTAATTATAAATATTTATAGTATTATGCTACTATTTGATTCTAATTTAAACTGTTTTATAATCATATAAAATAGATATATATATATATATATATATATATATATATATATTTCTTCATGTTTTTATTCCATATGTGATATACATATATAATATAGATTTGAGGGACTTAACTCAAACTTGAAAATCAATCCACCAATTACTAAAAAATATCGAGTTATTTGAGTTCTGTTTTATAACTTGGTTCGAATTTGAATTTTTTTGAGTCGAATCTAGTTTATAAAATTACAACTCAAAGTCTACTCGAGTTGAATTGAATAAAAAAATTTAATTTTTTTAGTTGAGTTTTACTCACCCCTATCCCTAATAACATCAACTAAAATTCTCACATCATTGCGGAACTTATTCTCCATAAAAGCTTACAAAGATGAGATTTGTGAGCATGCTTCAATGGTTATTCTCCATAAAAGTGTATTTTTTATAATAATAATCATAAAGGGTGTTGAAAGTTTGATATCTTCATGATTACCATGGGTTATTTGAGGAATTAGTAGGTTGCCGAATTCAAAAAGATAGACTGGGGAATATGTAGAATTCACGTGAATTAGTGGACAAAAAATGGTGTCCCTTTGCTGCAAAAAGTTCGTCTGGTTTTTCGAATCAGTACAAATCAATCCAACCTCACTTCACTTCTAAACTATTACTAGTGGTAGTGGTAGTGGTGGAGACCAACAAAAAAGATAAAATTTAAATGGATCTCGTGTATCCCCTTCCTTTTTAACAATCAATATATTTTTAAATTATATAATGATAGCATCTTCCTGTTGATCTTCATCTTCTTCTCCATTTCACCACACTACTGTTTTAGTAAAGACTAGAGCTTGATGGAAAAGATAGAGAGTAGTCCGCAGTTGGCTTGGCTTCTTCTTCCGTGAAATGAATAGCAAAGGGACCTTTTTGTTTTTGTCTTTTCAAGATTCGTGGGCGTTATAATAATAGTGAAAGGTTGGTGGAGCGTTTTGCAGGATATCAGTGTCAACCTCTTCTCAACTCCTCTATTTCGTTTTCTTCTTCTTCTTCTTGCCCTAACCTTTGGGGCAGCTACTTTCAACCCATTTTTTCCTTTTTGTTTTCTTCCATCTTTGGGTGTTTATGGCTATGGAGATGCAGAGCAGAAGGAAGACGATGGGGTTCTTGGTCGTATTGTTGGCTTTCTTCTTCATAGAGATGGCAGCATCCTCTACTGCCAGCAGAAGCAGCTTATCTGTTCAAAATCTTGAGGTTCAAGCTCAGTTGAAGCTCTTGAATAAGCCTGCTGTTAAATCTATCGAGGTCAGAATTTTTAATTTTATGAACAACTTTAAGCTCCCTTTCAGTATAATTGAGCTCAGTTTCTTGTATTAATTAACTGCAAATAAATTGTGAATTTAGACAAATTTTGTTATGTAAGATGACTCTCCTTTGTTAATCCACTGCATGTGTGTATGCATAGAACAGAGTCCAGATGGGGATATAATTGACTGCATCAAACTTGCTCACCAACCGGCTTTTGATCATCCATTATTCAAAGACCATAAAATCCAGGTTGATTGATTGCTCTTATTTAACCACCATTGTTTGATGAGTTTAATTGATTGATGCTTTCTATGTTAAATCCAGATGACCCCCAACTTTCACCCGGACCGTGCTTTTGCCGAGGTTTCGTTGAAGACAAAACCGGGACCATCAAGGGAAGTTACCCAGATGTGGCAATTGAATGGAAGGTGTCCAGAAGGAACTATCCCCATGAGAAGAACTAAAGAAGATAATTTGTTAAGAGCAAGCTCTATCAAAGCCTTTGGTAAAAAGAAGCACAAAAGTGTCCCTCAACCAAGGTCTGCAGATCCTGACCTCATCACTCAGAGTGGTCATCAGGTAGTATACTTTCTCCTGAAAGATTCCGGATTTAAACAACGGTCATAAAATGATGTTACGTCCATATACATTTGTCTGCAATCGTGATAAGTGTAACAAAACAATCCAGTTCCCTGGACAGATCTATACTAGTTGATTATTGCATATGAACATGAAATTGATATATGTTGGTGCACATGTTCCTTTTTCATGGATGATGGAACCTTGATGCAGCATGCGATAGTGTACGTCGATGGAGACAAGTACTATGGAGCTCAGGCAACCATTAATGTTTGGGAACCCAAAATTCAGCAGCCTAATGAATTCAGCTTGTCCCAAATCTGGATACTGGGAGGTGCATTTGGTGAAGATCTTAATAGCATTGAAGCAGGCTGGCAGGTACTACCTTCTTTCCTAACAACAACTTCACATTATTTTCTTTGATTCAGTGTGTCAACTCATTGGCCTTTGTCTTTCTGTATGATTTAACAATAGGTTAGCCCAGATTTGTATGGAGATAACCACACTAGACTCTTCACTTACTGGACTGTAAGACTAAACTCCATCTTACTATCCTCTAGTCCTTTGACTCAGTGTGTCAACTCATTGGCCTCTTTCTTTCTGTTTAACACAGAGTGATGCATATCAAGCCACAGGTTGCTATAATCTACTGTGCTCAGGCTTCATTCAGATCAACAATGAAATAGCAATGGGTGCAAGCATCTACCCTCTTTCTGGTTATCATAGTCCGCAATATGATATAAGCTTACTTGTGTGGAAGGTAAGAAATAAGAAGCTTCTCATAAAGTATGATGAACATCAAATATATACATGTCCATCAGTGTATGATGCTGTATGCATGTGTTTCTTTTATCTCCAAATGATTTTAAAGCAGTGCACAAATGGCTGAAAATGTGGCAGGATCCGACGGAGGGGAACTGGTGGCTGCAATTCGGTAAAAAGTACGTGCTCGGTTACTGGCCGGCCTTCCTATTTTCCTACCTATCAGACAGTGCATCCATGATTGAGTGGGGAGGAGAGGTTGTGAACTCAGAATCAGATGGACAGCATACATCCACACAAATGGGGAGTGGCCATTTCTCGAAAGAAGGTTTCGGCAAAGCTAGTTACTTCAAGAACATTCAAGTTGTTGATGGATCCAACAATCTCAGGGAGCCTAAAGGCCTTGCCACTTTCACTGAGCAATCTAACTGCTACGATGTACAAACCGGAAAAGGCGGCAATTGGGGCAACTACTTTTACTATGGTGGTCCGGGTCGAAACCCAAACTGCCCTTGAAGCTAAGTCAATGCCCTTCCTTGTGTTAAGTTTAGGCTAGTAAATCGGTGAAGAATGTTTTCACCTATTGATAGTAGCAATACATACAGGTTTATATCACCCTATTAACTCTGCCAAAGCTTTGTTGTGAGAAAGTGAGGTGTTCCTAGCTGATATTCTTTCTTTGGACATACCATTGTATATTTTGATTTTTCTTCTCTTTTTCCCTTTGTATGTGTTATTAAACTCTGCTTAAGCAATATATTGCCTTTAAATTGTAAGTTCAACCTTTATAATATTGAGACATTGTCTTTAAGCAAATGTTGGCCAACAAGGCAAGATACCTTGATAGGATACTGAAGTTATAGTTGTAGTCAGGGTTGAAAGTACCGGAATGGCTAGTTCTGCCGGTGATTTTTTTTCACATAAAATTTTGGTGTATATTTTATTGTGTAATCACTACATTTATCGTTATCTTCTAAAAAATTTGATCATAATACCGTCATGTATTTGACAACAGACCATGCACATAAACTACCATAATTAGCAGAACCATAAGCTTAGTCCACATCATATGGTAAGTTTCAACTCTCACAACTATCATTTCGAGGCGTGGGGCGCAGTAGCAAGATCAAACGAAATCGTACAAAAACTAAGAAAAATCTATGCATTGAGGAAATAAATGACTTGTCCCCAATATATATTACTTACATTTTACATACCATATCGCATTACAAGGAGGACATGCAGCGTTGTAATTAGATAATAAGCATAAAGTTTAGATAATTCCAATGTTTTTGACATATATGTACAAAATCTGATGGCCCTCCAAAGTTTAGCTGAAAACCGATTACATGTGTAGGTTACCTGGCTCTGGACAATTGTATGGCTTCTTGGTCTACAGTTGAATCTTCACCCCAAGTGAACTGATGGGAGAAAAGCATGAACTCTCGGTTCCTTACTTCTTCGAGCTCCTCCCATTCCGCCCATCTCACGGCCGGCCCCACTCCATCCAACATTTTCACCACTTCCGCCATCGTTGGCCGGTCTTCGAGCGAGCTCTGGGTGCACAGCAGTGCAACTCGAACAATCGTCTCGACTTCTTTCGGATCATAAATCTTCAAGTTCCCATCAACAATGTCATCAACCCTGTTTTCTCTCAGCAGCTTTTTTATCTGATAACATCAAATTTCCATCAGCCGAAGCAATCCTCACAAAAAAGCTACAAGTTCAATCGTGTATAAAATCTTACATGATCGAGTAGAAGGACATCCTCTTCCTCTTCTAACCGAGCAAAATCTATTGCACGCTGACCGGTTACAAGTTCAAGAAGCATTATACCGTATCCGAAGACGTCCGTTTTTCAGAAGATTTTCCCGTGGACAAATATTCTGGGGCAATGTGACCCATGGTACCTCGTACTTGAGTGGTGACATGAGTCAACTTCGTATCGACAAGCTTTGAGAGCCCGAAATCGCCAAGAACAGCTTCGAAATTGTCTTCTAAAAGGATGTTTGCCGCTTTAATCACGGTGTATTATCTTCGGATTGCAATGCTCGTGTAGGTACTCCAAACCATGCGCTGCTCCGAAAGCTATACGTTTCCTCATTGGCCAGTCCAAGCCCCTATCTCCAGGTTTTAGATCTATAGAAATATTTCAGGTGTAAACCATGGTAAAAATGGCACATGACTGCCACAAGTTAATAGTTGATGCAAATCATGAAGGACAAGTACCTCTGAGTTGATACGCCACACTTAAATTTTGCATGAAAGGATAAACAAGAATTCTTTCGGACGACGTTGTGCAGAACCCGATCAGCCGTAGAAGATTATTGTGAACTGCAACGCTTATGAGCTGGACTTCCCTCTGGAATGCGGCTTCACCGCCGGGACTATAATAATCCGCGAGGCGTTTTATGGCGACCTTGGTGTTGTCGGAGAGGACACCTTTATAAACTCTTCCGAACCCTCCTTGTCCAATTATGTTTCCCTCGTTGAAATTATCGGTGGCGAGTTGGATTTCACGCCATGAGAATCGCCGTAGCTGGCCAAAGGAAATTTTGAGGTCGTCTTCACCTAAAGTTCAGAAACTGCAAGTGTCAACTTCTACAAACTAAAGAAATCAAATAGACTTCCCATGTCCTAAAACGTTATGTGAAAAACACAAATAAAGAACAGAAAATCACCTGTGACATCGACGAAAACATCGCGCTTAAGCTTCTGTATTTGTTAATACAGGAACACGAAGAGAACACCGAGTGACAGAAGTATGATAGCAGCACAACTTACAGAGGTTACAACAATTCTAATTTTGGACCTATTGATTGAAACTACAAAAACAGACCACATTCAAGCTCACATGTGAAATGAATGTAGTAAAAAAGCTGGTACAGAGAACAAACCAGACAACGTAGTAGGAACACCGAGTGACAGAAGTATGATAGCAGCACAACTTACAGAGGTTACAACAATTCTAATTTTGGACCTATTGATTGAAACTACAAAAACAGACCACATTCAAGCTCACATGTGAAATGAATGTAGTAAAAAAGCTGGTACAGAGAACAAACCAGACAACGTAGTAGGTGAAACACAAGGTTGTTCCAAGCTTGAGCTACAAGCAAGATGTGCTCCATTGAAGCTGACAAAATAACACTGTCAATAGGGAGTAGCAAGTAGAAGAGTTACTACAATTTAAAGGAGATGGAATTTCTTATGAAGCTTACTTGATTCTTGGAACCAAGAACAAGTTCCTTGGAATTCTTCCAGTTATATTGTTGGATGAAAGATCCCTGCCAGATAAAAAGATTTGTGAGTATGAAAGAGGGTAAGGTAGAGAAATAAACACCACAAGTACAAGACTCATATACAAGTTTGAAGCAATTTATCAAACAAGAATTTTATTATGGAATAGAACCACATATAATGAATGGTTCCATTAAATACCAAAACTATATCTTAATTGGATTTAGGGGTGACTTGTCGAATATCAATATGCATACAAAACACGTATGCTCGATTTTTGTCTCTTTTCTTTCCCATATATGAGGAAGATTATACCCCATACCCATCTTCGAATATGTGTAGGACACAGGTGTCATGTGCAAGTACTTCAAGGAAAATGAGGAGTTCAAGTAGCATAATATTATCAAATCCTGCTATCCATTTGCTTGTGAGAAAGGGAAAAGAGCATTCTTAGAGAGTTTTTAAATTGGATAATGTTGGATATATGAATTGCAAAACTACACCGTTAGCACTGACTGGAAATATAAACAGTAATTAAAAGGAACAGATTCGTAAACCGTGTCGTGTTATAACCACTGCCTTAGAAACGAATTCGCCCCGATGTGTATAATCGCTGCTGTAGGCGGACCGTCCCCCGAGGTTAACACGGTCGCTTCAAATTTTGTACACCCAAAATCGGAGTGGACTGCCGATGGTCTTGCTCTTCTTATCGGAAAACACAGAGAGAGAATATTTAGAAAACACTTGGAGAGTGAATTCTGAATGATGAAAGTGAGTTGAGAAGCTGAATATAACCCTCTATTTATAGGCTAGAAATATGGTTAAAATCATCCATAAAATTTCAGGATTAAATCTCTTCTTTTGTAACAGCTGAAACGTCTAGATGAACCTGACTAAAAAATAGTCCAGGTTCATTGCATCATTATTCAGCTGTTATAACTCCCGAAATTATATCATGTAACCCCTGGAATTAAATCAAATAACTCCTATAACTCCTGATATTAACAGCTTGTCTCCTCTGTACAAAGCTGGAAATCAGTCCAGATACATTTTAACATTTTTTATTTAATTTAGGAAAAACTGTTTAATTTCTGATAACTCTCATAAACCAGCTGTTATCATTTGAATTTAAACAGTCCTCAGCAGCCTATAAATATCAGTTGAAATCTTTCACATTTTTAAAGAGAAATTCCTCAAGAATTTTCTCTAAAAAGATAGTATCCGCGCGGACGTGTCGAAGACACGTATTACCACGACCACGACCACGAGCCGAGCCGAGCCGAGACGAGATGGACGGTGGCAGCGGTGGTGGTGCGCGAGAGTCCCCCTTGTTCTCTTTCACTCAACAAGGAAGTGTGAAATCCAAACCATAAATACTCATTTCCAATAGTATTTCCAATACTATGTGAGATTGAGCATTACCAACATTCCCCCACTAATGCGAAAGAATTCTTCTGAAACTCGAAAACAAACTTTCCAGAAGAGCAATAGCGAGATTAGTTGCTTAAGCACTAGTGAACGTATCTGGAACTAGTACATAGTGATGATGAGCAATCCTTCTCTTAGATAAGTGAAACTAGTCTGGAATTTTCTAAGATGTGAGTAAACTCATAACACACAACTAACCCCTTCATCCACCTGAGTCCTCGATGTGTAAGATATATATATATACAAAAGTATATATTTGGTCATCTTACCTCAGGATTCTAGTAAGTGTACTAGAAAAATGGCCCAACATTTTTCATAGAAGGTGGCTAACCCTTTTCACTTACATAGGTTATTTCATCAAGTTTATCTCGATATAAACCACCCTTAATAGGGATATGAAATAATTAACAGCTTTTATAAAAGCTCAACCTCACAAAGGGTATGGTGACTTTCTTCAAGTTCATTATAAATGAACCACCCAAACTCTGGGTTAAGAAGTCATTAAGAATAAATATTCAACCTCATTTATCGGTAAATTTAATAAGTCATTCTCACTAGAACCATCTAAATACTTGGATTTGAATTTATTAAGAGTTTAACAAACTCAACCTTTCTGTCGGTAAGTTCATCATTTCCTACCCACTCACTCTGGGTTATGAACTTATTAAGAATAGATATTCATCCCAAATCGGTAAATTCATCAAGTCTTTCTCATTAAGACCACCCAAATTCTGGGCTATGAATTTATTAAGAGTTTAACAAACTCATCCTGAGCATGCACATTATTCATCATAGGGATAGGCAGTAGGAATGTGCACTATGAGTCTTTCCATGGTTTCTTTTGACCTCATGGAACTTAGATAACTAAGTTGGGTATCCACCATGAATTCCTCAACCAATGGGCTTTAGACCCATCCCCCTCAATGAATCTAGGACCAGTTTCTGACTTAACCCTTTGGTAAGTAGATCTGCTAGGTTCCTTTCTGACTTCACATACTCTAAAGAGAGCACTACATTCTTTATTAAGTGTCTAACAGATTCATGTCTTATGTGAATGTGTCTTTTCTTACCATTGTAAGCTTGGTTCTTAGCCACACATATCGCTGCTTGTGAATCACACAATAATGAAATCGGAGGAGTCGGTCTTCCCCACAACGGAATATCTGCTAACAAGCTTCTGAGGCACTCGACTTCTTTCCCAGCTAGGTCAAGAGCTATAAACTTTGACTCCATGGTAGAACAATCAACACAACTCTGTTTTGATGATTTCCACGAGATTGCTGCTCCACCCAAAGTAAAAACATACCCACTCGTAGAGCTTACCTCATCATTATCAGAAACACAGTTGGCATCACAATATCCTTCCAGTACCGCAGGAAAGCCAACGAACTCAAGTTTCCAATCCAAAGTACCCTTAAGATACTTCAGTAAGCGTTTAAGAGCAACCCAGTGTTCACCACTCGGATTATGAGTATATCTACTCAGTCTACTCACAACATAAGCAATATCAGGTCGAGTATAGTTCATTAAGAACATTAAGCTTTCAATTAATTTAGCATATTCAATTTGGGAAACTCTACTTCCTTTATTCTTAACTAGATGTATGCTAGGGTCATAAGGAGTTCGAATAGGGACGACATCAAAATTGTCAAATTTCTTTAGCACTTTCTCTATATAATGTGCTTGACATAAAGAAAATCCCTTCTTAGTTTTGGTAACTTTGACTCCTAAGATTACATCTACTTCTCCCAAATCTGTCATCTCAAACTTAGTGGACAAGAAATTTTTAACTTTGTTAATGGACTCAATGTTAGAACTGAAAATCAACATGTCATCAACATAAAGACTTATGATAACACATTCAGTGTCAAACATCTTCGAATACACACAAGCATCCGAATAATTCATAACAAAACCAAAACTAAGAATAATTTTATGAAATTTCTCATACCACTGTTTAGGAGTATGCTTAAGTCCATAGAGTGACTTTTTGAGTCTACAGACTTTGCCTTCCATACCAGGTGCTTCAAAACCTAGTGGTTACTCCATGTAAATCTCCTCATCTAGATCTCCATTCAAGAAAGTAGTCTTAACATCCATTTGATGTACCTACAACTTATGAATAGAGGCTAGTGCAAATAATGCACGAATCATTGAGATTTTTGTAACGGGAGAGTATGTATCAAAGTAGTCTAAACCAAACCTTTGAGTAAACCCTTTGATGACTAACCTTGCCTTGTACCGTTGAATCGAACCATTTGGCCTTAGTTTCTTCCGGAAGACCCATTTGTTGGAGATTGGTTTGAATCCCTTAGGCAAGTCAACTAATTCCCAAGTATGATTAGACATTATCGATTCTAGTTCATCATTAACAGCGCTTTTCCAAAAACTAGCATCGATAGATCTTATAGCTTCTTCAAAAGTTTTAGGATCCTCATCTAACAGAAAAATTTGAGCTATAGGATCTTAAATGGAGTCTAAATCATTTATCTCAGAAATAAAGGAAGTAATAAAGTCTGGTCCAAAAGAGGTTTCAACTCTTTGCCTTTTACTTCTTCTAGGCTCAAAAACAATTTGTCCAGAAGACCTAGTATGATTACTAGAAGAAGTTGATGGAATATATTCTATTTGTGTTTCAATATTTATTCTCGGTTCCTTTAAAGGAAAAGTATTTTCAAAGAAAATAACATCCCTTGACTCACAAATAGAATAATCTTGTAAAAGTATGAATCTGTATGCATCACTATTCGTAGCATACCCTATAAATACTGCATCAACGGTTTTAGGTCCAATGGTGGACTTCTTAAAGTCTGGCAAACCCACTTTAGCCAGACACCCCCACACTTTTAGGTATTGTAAATTAGGAGCATATCCTTTCCACAATTCATATGGGGTAGAATCTAATTTCTTATGAGGAACTCGGTTCAAGATATGAGTTGACGATAGAATGACTTCCCCCTAGGTGTTATCAGATAACCCTGAACTTATTAGTAAAGAATTAATCATATCTTTTAAAGTTCTATTTTTCCTTTCGGCTATACCATTCTGTTGAGGAAAATAAGGGGCTGAAGTTTCATGAATTATGTCATTCTTTTCAAAAATATCTTTTAAGAAAATAGATCCATATTCACCACCTCTATCAGATCTAACCCGTTTGATTCTCCTATCTAACTGATTTTCAACTTCTACCTTATAAATAAGAAAGAAGTTTTCAGCTTCATCTTTAGTCCTTAGGAGATAAACTTTTGTATATCTTGAATAATCATCTACAAAAGTTATGTAGTAGTGTTTTCCTTCTTTACTTTCAGTGTTTCTAAAATCTACTAGATCATTATGAATAAGTTCTAACAATTCAGTCTTTCTATTAGAAACAATATTAAAGTGAGGTCTAGTATGCTTAGCTTCTACACAAATTTCACATTTGTTAAAGCTAGTTGTGTCTAGTTTAGGCATAACATTCATATTTATCAATTTCTTTAAAGCATGAATATTCACGTGTCCTAATCTAGCATGCCACATATCAATGGATTCAACAATATAAGCAGAAGTGGTAGATTTATTTTCATTAAATTGAGTTTCTATGACAAATAAACCATTGCTTAAAAACTCTTTCCCAACATAATCACCATTTCGAGAAAGTACAAGTTTATCTGCCTCAAAAACTAACTTAATGCATGTCTTATTCAGAAGCCCACTACTTATCAAATTTCTACGCAAGGCGGGTACATACAGAACATTATTTAAAGTCAAAGTTTTACCAGAGGTCAGCTTGAGTAAAACTTTGCCTTTGCCTAGCACTTCAGAGCTGCTAGAGTTCCCCATGTACACACGTTCACCTACGATCTCATCCTCGAATTTGATGAAAAACTCATTCCTTGCGCAGAAATGCTTTGAAGCGCCAGTGTCAACAACTCATTCCGAACTATTTTCCACCAGATTGACTTCTGAGACCACCGTAGCAATGATCTCATCATCTTCTTCTACAACGTGCATCTGTGGGTTGTTGTCATTCTGGCGGTCTGAGCGGTCTGAGCGGTGTTGGCATTGGTAAGCTTTGTGGCCGGGTAAACCGCAGACATAACACTTTAGCGTATTTCCTTCAGTTTTGGCATTTCCTGACTTCTTGAAGTTGGTAGCCTTCTGAGGTTTCGTCTTCTTGTCTTGATTCTCACGTTTCATGATCTTCTTAAATTTAGACTCAACCAAGTTAGCTCTAAAAGATAAATTACTCATAGAATTATTAAGCTTATCTTTTAAACGGTTGGCTTCTTCAATCTTCATATGGCCCACGACTCTTCAAGCAAAATTTCTCTCTTCTTATGCTTAAGAGAGTTGCGGTAGTTGGACCAGGACTTGGGCAGCTTCTCAATGAAAACATTGGCTTGCAGCATCTCGCACATTTGCATCCCTTCGGCGATGATGTCAGCGACTAGGTTCTCATAGTCATGGACTTGATCCATTATCGGCTTGTCATCAGTCATATGGAATTTGAGCCATTCGCCGACAACATACTTCTTGATGCCAGCATCATTCGCACCATACTTTTTATCGAGAGTATCCCATATTGTCTTGGCACTCCTTTCTCTAAGGAACATATCAAATAATTTATTTGACATGTGACTGAGCAGATGTCCTCGCACCGTTTTGTTGTCTTTCTCGTACTTCTCGTAGGTAGCGAGTGCAGCAGCGGTAGTTGCTAAGGCATCATCATTGATGACTGCATCAGCATCATTACTGGTAGTTGGGGTTGGCGGCATGATAGGTGGTGGCTTGAGCAGCACGTAGTCAAGATCAAGTTGCTCGAAGAATATCATGATTCTTTGGGACCACCTTCTATAATTCTTTCCATCAAGTGCATCGAGCTTGGAAAGATCGGGTATCAGTTTGCTCAAAGGTGTTGACATGATTGCAGTATATAGAATTCGTTTCTAAATTGTTGGATATATGAACTGCAAAACTACACCGTTAGCACTGACTGGAAATATAAACAGTAATTAAAATGAATAGATTCGTAAACCGTGTCGTGGTATAACCACTGCCTTAGAAACGAATTCACCCAGATGTGTGTAATCGTTGCTGTAGGCAGACTGCCCCCCGAGGTTAACACGGTCGCTCCAAATTCCGTACACCCAAAATCGGAGTGGACTGCCGATGGTATTGCTCTTCTTATCGGAAAGCACACATAAAGAATATTTAGAAAACACTTGGAGAGTGAATTATGAATGTTGAGAGTGAGTTGAGAAGTTGAATATAACCCTCTATTTATAGGCTAGAAATAGGGTTAAAATCGTCCATAAAATTTCAGGATTAAATCTCTTATTTTGTAACAGCTGAAACGTCTAGATGAACCTGACTCAAAATAGTCTAGGTTCATTGCATCATTATTCAGCTGTTATAACTCCCGAAATTATATCATGTAACCCCTGGAATTAAATCAAATAACTCATGTAACTCCTGATATTAACAGCTTGTCTCCTCTGTACAAAGCTGGAAATCAGTCCAGATACATCTTAATATTTTTTATTTAATTTAGGAAAAACTGTTTAATTTCTTATAACTCTTATAAACCAGCTGTTATCATTTGAATTTAAACAGTTATCAGTAGTCTATAAATATCAGTTGAAATCTTTCACATTTTTCCATTTGTTTCTTTCAAAGAGAAATTTCTCAAGAATTTTCTCTAAAAATATAGTATACCACGAGCCGAGACGAGACGAGACGGACGACGGCGGCAGCGGTGCTCGAGAGTCCCCCTTGTTCTCTTTCACTCAACAAGAAAGTGGGAAATCCAAACCATAAATACACATTCCCAATAATATTTCCAATACTATGTGGGATTGAGTATTACCAACAGATAGTTGACCCCAATTTTCTGGAATGGAACCACTGAATCTATTATTTGCAAGATTCAGAACTTCTAGGTGCACCATATCACCAAGGAAATCAGGCAACAAACCAGTTAGATTATTGTTTTGTAAATCCCTGCAAAAATAGACAAATGCTTTATGACTCTCACTCACCACCATGGAAAGATAATATATATATATATATATATATATATATATATACTAAACTATTTAGTGTATAACATTTTACTAACCTTTTACTCTACAGGATACCAAATCACAGATAAATGCAATTCAATGAATGATGAAGAATTCAGCATCATTATGACTTACAAGTTAACCAGAAACTTAAGTTTCTTAATCGAAGGCTAAAGAGTTCCTGAAAATCCATTTGAAGCAAGATTCCTGCGCCAATTAATGCATTCACATGTTATTCTTAGTTATTATCATTGAAAAACAGAAGATGTGGAGTTTTCGTAGATTGTCATGTAAAGTAGGGGTCTGTCCAAGGATCTTACCTCTACCAAAAGTAATTGGATTCACATAATGTCAATTGAAAATGACCATGCGAGTAATACAATTATTGTAAAATAAGCAAGTCCTCCATTACAAATCAACCACAACTCAAATTGGTGAACTTACAAGGAGATGACATTCCCGTTCCTGCAGTTGACATGAGACCAGCTAAAGCAGGGACTCACAAGATTATTGCTCCAATCAGTTATTCGACCACTGGAATCATTGAGAGCCTTGCGAAACTCAAGCAAAGTGTTTCCTGAACATTTGGAGAAGCATTAAACATGAATCCAAATAAAATTTTTGCCTATGGGATTCGAATCCATCGTAAGAGAATTCGAAAATGAATCGATTAAGACAAGCTCTTTCATTATAAAAATAATGGATCTTCACCAATGACAAGTCTATTCATGAAATGGTATTTCCTTCGACATTCATTTCACACAATTAACTCTGAAATTTTGCATGATATTCTCTTCAAGAAATTTCTTTTGTTTCACTCTATTTTGGTTCGTGGTTCATGTGTGTTCAAGAAGAACTTGAAGTGCAATCGTTTTCTTCTGTGAGTAGGCATTCTATCCTGGGGGATAAGTTTCCATAGCAACAATTTGCATCATAATGCAGAAAACGTTACCCAACTGAAAGCTTCCTAGAAGTGTCTTCTTCATTTCTTATTCTTCTTCTAGTCCCACCATTGTTTTACCGTTATATACCTATTCCTATGTATCTATGATTGTTGACTTATTTAAACCAATACTTTTGGAAGAACTACGGACAATATGATAAACCAATACTTTTGGAAGAACTACGGACAATATGATAAACAAAATTTGGTATATAGTCGATAGACTCAACAAAGCAATATCATATAGTTGAATGACCATTTTATAACTTTTAAAAGTCGAAGGATTCAACAAAGTAGTACCTTGCAATTGGGGGACCATTTGTCTACTTTACCCATAATATTTGTATATTTATATTATATTAGTTTAGTTTATATCAAATTTTATCTTTTAACTATTATTTTCATGCCTTAATTTTATAAAAGAAAGTTTCCATTGGCAATAAATAATTTATCATTATATTGGGGGTGCTTTGTTATCCATGACAACAATTTTCCCAAGTCCAACCACTAAAAATGAGACTATCCCTGTACATATATCAAGTTTGAGTTAATATCTTCGACTTTGTATGATATACATATCTCACATATAAAAAAATATATATGTATTGTATATGATTATAAAAAATTATTTAAATTGGAATCAAATAGTATCATAATATTATAAATATTTACAATTAAATTTAAATAAAAACTCGATTCGATTCGACTCAAATTTTATAAACTCGACTCAATTTAAAAAAAATTAAATCAAATCTGAATTATAAAATAAGAATCGTCAACTCAAATAAATTAAATTTCTTTACTCATCTTGACTCGATTAAACAATCACCCACCTCTGTACAACTTGATAGGACAAGTTATGGGTAAGGGTCGATAAAGAGGGTCCCTTACATTCAATGATTGTCCAGAGTTAGCTCTTGGGTCTCTGAATATGGAATTGAGATTGGGATAAGTTGCAAATGGTGCTATCAATGAGAGTGCTTCAAAAATTAAAGGCTATATATGAATATTATATTAATAATTAATTAGGGAACGGTATATTTGAATTATAAAATCGTCCCAGTTAGTCTGTATATGTGATTTTCTCTTCTTTTTCTCTCTCTCTAGGCTATTTCAATTTAGCTGGTCAATTTTCAATTATTCAAATTAAGAATCCAATCAACCAATAAAAATGAGTTATATATATTAATTTTAAATGTGTTTATAATATATATATTATATAAGCACGAACCAACTTTCCTCAGTAGTTAAAAGAATCGTTGTTGTTTATATAAGTTACAGGTTTGAGCACCAATGACTGTAAATGTGATTGAAGCGTTCATTGTCGAATGATTGAGAGTACTTAAAACATATAATACTTTATAATCACCTTTAACTTAATATATATATATATATATATATATATATATATATTATAATATTTGAAGAAAGGATTATATATACTCCACATAAAAAAATAATAATATAAAATTTCTCTCCTACCTCTTTGTTGTGATTCTTCTTCTTTTACTCCATAACATCATCAAATCTACTTGGAGTTTAGATTTGTTACGGGTAGAATTGCAGTTTATTTTTTATTTTATTCGTCTAAATTTATTTTTACCTATCTTGTATCGAAAATTTGAATTTTTATTAATATAAAAATATTTAAAATTTTAAAAATTAATTTTCATTAATATTTTTAATCAATAAATAATAATTTAGATGGCATCTAAATAAACCAAATTTTACTTTATCTAGATTTGAGCGAATAACCCGATCTTAAATTCTACGCGAGCTGGAGCCCTCAAGTAAGAAAGAAAACTAAAAGCAGTCAGGCGTAGATAGGCCCATTAGAAATTAGGGTAAAGAACAAAAATGGTCCTCCTACTATAGGATATTACTTTTTCAATCTATCAACTATTAAAAGTTATATAATAGTCACCGACTATTAATATGTTAGAAACTCATCATTTTCTGTTAAAATTTGATGGCCGTCTGAACTGGACATTAATCCGTTGACTGAGATATGATCAAACTTGATCTTAGAACCATTTTTGTTGTATTTTATGTATTGAAACTGCGTTTACATTATATTGTGGAGTTAGTGCTTGAAAGATTATATCGTCGAGCTAGTGGTTGAAAGCAACGACAGTTCCAATATGCATTATTAAAATATAATTTTATCATATCTTAGTTAATAAGTTAATGTTCAGCTCAGACGGCCGCTAATTTTTTAACAAAAAATAACGAGTTTAGAATATATAAATAGTCGGATGATCATTTTATAACTTTTAATAATCTGATGGCTGAACAAAATAAATATCATATATTTAAATAATCATTGTGTAACTTTTAATAGTCGGGGACAAAACAAGACCATTTGTGTATTACCCTAGAAATTAAGAATAAATTGTATACTTAAACAAATGGTGACTGGGTCCGCATAGAAAAAGAAAGACTTCATCAGACGTTTGAAACCTACCAAACTCGTTGGACCCCTCTAAATGCAAATTCATAGTATGTTTAATCAAAAAATAACTTAAACTTCACAAATCTAACGTTGATATCATGGTTATCGTGCGTCGTCATGCTTCGATCACCATTTGTGTTAATACCTGTGCCAAATTCAATCACCATTTGTGTTAATACCAGTGCCAAATGAAAGTTTTTCTCTCCCTAAACCAACCCAAAAGCCATGTAAATCAAATTAAAGTTCGAACCTAATAACTTCAATTTACACCCTTTCATCGTTCAATTGTTATCTAATTGAGATATGTTACATGTCGAGTTTTGATTGTTGGAATCTACGATTGAATACCTAGATTGCTAGAAGTTGGGAATTTTGGAGTATAAGGTTTTTTAGTAAGAATTTTCGGATTTGTAATGGTAAGGACAGTGAGAGCTGGAGCTTAAGGTTTGAGATAATATGTGAGAATCTTAGATCTACAACAACGTAGGTGAGGTCGATGATGATTTGGAGTAGTCGACCATATTTTAAAGGCGGGGTGATCAATGAGGGTTTAGGGGTGGTTGGTAGGGGTTGGGGTGATTGACTAAGATCAAGCATGAAGCATTGGAGTCTGGGATTAGGGTTCAATGTTTGGGATTAGAATTTAATTATTTTCTTTTTCTTTTTCTATTTATTTTAAATCATATATGATAATAAACATTAATAAAAATTAAAATGTCATAACAGAAATGTTAAAATAATCTATATATCATATATTTTGTAGTTTAAACAATTGAGTGATTAAAATATAAGTAATTTGAAAATTTAATGATTATATTTAAAATTTTAAATTGATTAAAATAAAAGTTAAAAAAATAATTGAGTGAGAAATTATATAATTTATAAAATGATGAATTGAAAGATTTTTTTATTCATAGAAATTTTAAATATAATATTATTTTATTTTTATCTAAAAAGTCATATTATTTTATAATGCCATGTCATTATCTACTTAACACCGTTAAAAGATGATGGATCTAACGAAAAACAAGTTAGGGGTTGATGTGGAAAAAATAAAAGGGTTAGCAGAAAGAGAAAGGTACAAGTTGAGAATTCATATGTCTGTTGAAGTCTGAAGGAGGTCTGGGTTTGAAAAACACTGGGCATAGAGCTTGTACCATCAATCTTATTAGAAAAATTCTAGCAGGTGACGGATCTTTATGGATTGCATGGCTAAAATCCTATGTTCTTAAGGAGCATGATTTCTGGAATTTTGAAGCTGGATCTAACGTCAGCTGGAGCTTTTGTCGAATTCTCAAGTTGAGATCAATTGCATTCCCTATTGTCTCGGCTGCTCATCAGCCGATTAGGGAAGTCTGGGACAAGATTCGGATACAACGCATGAAGGTTTGTTGGCACAAACTTATCTGGTATCCTTTGTATATCCCAAAACACAGTTTGATTTCATGGATGGCCTTATTGAATCGGTTACCAACCAGTGATAGGTTGCAGAAACTGGGTTTATGTTCTGAAACCACATGTGTTAACTGTTGGCAAGATCAAAAATCGTGGGATCATCTCTTCTCTTAATGTCCTTTTGATGTTGGACTTTGGAAAGCGTTTTTGCAACTGAATGATATGACTATTCCTCCTCTTACTTGGGAAACTATGGTATCTTGGGCTAGCACAACTTGAAGAGGGAAGTCTCTTATCACCACCTTATTGAAGATTTCTTGGAACACTTTTATCTACTTCATCTGGTAGGAAAGGAATCAACGTATTTTTCAGGGTCGGCAAAGATCGATCGATATTTGGCTTAATGACATTATTGAAACTGTTAGCATTAGACTTAGGGGCAAAGCTATTAATAGACTTGATAGTACTAACCAATTGCTTTGTAATGCTTGGGGTATAGTCTAACAAATCTTTGGTTCTTTTGTTTTAGGTTGCATTGTCTCTTTGTTGGTTGATTTGTTGTAGCATAACATTTCTATTTTAGGTAATAAATTCTGATTTATCCAAAAAAAAAAGTACAAGTTTAGGGGCCAAATATATAATAAAGCAAAAGAAAGAAATGTTTTGGATGTTTGACATTTTGACAAAGGGTAAACTATGTCAATGGTCATTGATGTTTGTGTGTGTTTTCGTTTTTACAACTAATGTTTCAAAAGTTATAAATAGATCATTAACGTTATCGTTTGTGACAAAATGATCACTGGCTGTTAACAGCTGTGACGAAAAATACAACTGGACCGTTATCTGCTGATTTAGATCGTTAACCGCCATTTTAACTTGATGCTCTTCTTCTTCTTCAACCCATTCCCCATCTACTTTTTCTTCACTTTTCTTCTTCTTTCTTTCTCTTCACTTTTCTTCGCTTTTTTTCTTTTCCTCTTATCACACACATGAAACCTCAATGACAAATGACCCATCTCCGCCACCTACCACCACCACTTGGCCACCACGTCACTCCTAAATCAGCCACCCAGCCGCCTCTTGCACCCACATATATTAGTTTATTATTACAATGACCGGTACCAGAAGCGGTCTTTTCCACCTTTTCTTAGCGCATGACAGTGACGTTTTGATTCATGCGATAGTTGAACAAGTACATCGAACGCAGCTGATCCCAGTGTTATTTTTCTTCAAGTTCTGGGATTGATTATTTTATCTGTACGTAGGTGGCGGCGTTGAGGATGTTTACGGTGAGGATTACGCCACCGAGGACCAACTCGTCACCCCATGGACTTACTCTGTTGCAAGGTCACCCTTTTTCATTTTTTTTTCTTGTGAAGCTTGTGTTTTTTATTATGGGTTTTTAAACTGTTCTTCCATGGTTGCAGTGGATATTCATTGTTGAGGGATCCCCACCATAACAAAAGGCTTGCCTTCACTGAGAAAGAAAGAGATTCTCACTACTTGCGTGGTTTACTCCCTCCTGCTGTTGTCACTCAACAGCTTCAGGTTTCATACTATAATTTCAAACCCCTTTTTGGCTATTCCCCAGATTTTAAGAAGTATTAATTCATGTTTTGTGTGTGTTATAATTCCTAGGAGAAGAAATTGATGAACAATATCAGGAAATATCAAGTTCCCCTGCAAAAATACATGTCCATGATGGAACTTCAGGTCTCTCTTGTACCTCTCTTTACATTCACTTTAAGCTTTGGTGTTGTTCATTCTTTACATTCACCATTAACAGGAAAGGAATGAGAGACTGTTTTACAAGCTGCTGATCGATAATGTTGAGGATCTGCTCCCAATTGTTTACACCCCAACTGTAGGCGAAGCTTGCCAGAAGTACGGGAGCATCTTCAGGCGTTCGTAGGGTCTTTATATAAGCTTGAAAGAGAAGTATGAATGTGTCTTTGTCCTATGTAATTGAATCCTCGAGTGGACTGGCTTGACTTTGTTCAATCATAACATGCAGGGGAAAAGTTCTTGATGTCTTGAAGAACTGGCCGGAAAGGAGTATTCAAGTTATCGTCGTAACCGATGGTGAGCGTATTTTGGGCCTTGGGGATCTCGGCTGTCAGGTGAAATTGTTTAAAGTCCAATTCTTTTAGTTAGAAACATTTTTGTTGGTGCTTAGTTTAAATTGCAGTTTTGGGATTCTGTGAAATAAATGAATAACTAGTTTTGGCCATTGTTCGGTTGGAAATTCAGGGGATGTGAATTCCTGTTGGGAAATTGGCTTTGTACACAGCACTCGGGGGGGGGGGGGATTGTCCTTCAACACTAAGCATCGTCGAGTTCTTCATTTGATGTTCTTGAGATCTACATTTATGGTTCTTAAGCTGAAATTTTACATGGTTGGAGAACTAGAAGTGAACTTTGATATAAACAACAATTGTGATGATACTCTGTAGCTCTCATATTGATTGATTCTGCTTTATAGTGTTTACCGGTGTCCATCGATGTCGGCACAAATAATGAGAAGTTGTTTGAAGGATGAGTTCTACATTGGGCTTCGACAAAGGAGGGCAACTGGGCAGGTTGGTGGGTTTTAACAGCATAATCATTTCAAACATATTGATAAGAGGAAAAGAAGAAAAGTGAAGAAAAGTGAAGAGAAAGAAAGAAGAAGAAAAGAAAAAGATGGGGAATGGGTTGAAGAAGAAGAAGAGCAGGTCAAAATGGCGGTCAACGATCTAACTCAACAGATAACGGTCCAGCTGTATTTTTCGTCACGGCTGTTAACGGTCAGTGATCATTTTGTCACAAACGATAACGTTAGTGATTTATTTGTAAATTTTGAAACATTAGTGGTGAAAAAGAAAATTTAACCAAACATCAGTGACCATTGGCGTAGTTTACCCTTTGACAAATTCTGCCCTGTTTCGCTAAGTCCAACCTGCCACCTGCTTGCCTTGCGTTAATAGACAGGCAGTAGAGAAAGAGAAACATTACAATACTTTCAATCTTTCTATTATTTTAAAGTATAAAAATACATTAAATACTCGGCGCTATATGGCGATTGGGTGGACTTTCACTTCTTCTTTCTTTGAAAATCCTACTCTGTTTCAGAACTTCTCCATTTTCTTCTTTAGTTGGGTATATGCTGGTAACATAACACCTTCAACTTCATCTCTCTCTCTCTTTTTGTATATTTTTAGTGTTGGAGTGGAGTAATAATAATCAGGATAAGCTGAATAATGGGCGGGATTTGTTCGAGGAGCGGCGTTAGAGATGAAGGGGTTGGAAATGGCTATGGCAGTGGTAATCTTAACCATTACCAGAGCAAGGATATTCCTCAAAATGGCTTGATGAATCCACCCCAAGTAAGGGAAATCACGGAGAAGAGAATCGAAGATTCTGCTGATGATTTCTACGATGGGATTCCGCGTTTTACAGGGGCCATGTCCCAGAAATCTAGATCAGTTAGGTCCACTCAGGCTGCTGTTGCTAAGGTAATCTTCAAATTCTGCCCCTTTTTATAAGTTTCTCCTTTTGCTTTCTTTTTGAACTAGCTTAAGCTTCCGCTGCCACCGTACTTGGGCCGTTGATTCCTTGGGTGAGGTTTCCATGTCGGACAGAATATGGTTGAACGAAAACTAAATATGGAAAGTGAATATAAATATACGAGTGGATAAATGCCACATAAAAGTTCAATTGAAATGAGTTTTTTGTACAGGAGGCTATTTGTTGATGCATTAAGATGTACGGTCAATTTAATAAACTCCGTTCATTCACCAGCTTTGGTTTTCTCTTTTCCTTTAAGGAACTCTTGTGAACTCTAGCCAATTCATATGTTATTTAATATTGTGGCCATTGGTGATGATTTCGTTAGCAATCTTAAAAATGATCCTGCCCTTTACATTGCAGGTTTCAGAGGTCAGTTCCCGTTTAGGGAAGGCTGGATCAGTTGGACTAGGAAAAGCAGTGGAGGTATTGGATACTCTTGGGAGTAGCATGACAAGTTTAAATCCTAATGCAGGATTTGCTTCTAGAGTGGCAACTAAAGGCGATGAACTTTCAATATTAGCCTTTGAGGTAGCAAACACGATCGTTAAGGGTTCAAATCTTATGCAATCCCTTTCTAGAAGAAATATAAGGCATTTAAATGAGGTGGTGCTGGTCACCAACGGTGTTCAAAATTTAATATCTAAAAGACATGAATGAACTCTTGAGGATTGTTGCAGCTGACAAAAGGTATAATGGTTTCAACTACCCATGATAGTACTTTCAACTAATCATGCTGCCTTTTTGTGTCTATCCTTTTACTATTTAGTGTGCCCAAGAATGGTCTTGTTAAGAACTTAATAACTCATGCTTAATTTTGTTGTTAAGAACCTGTTTAACTCAATGTTCACAGGGAAGAATTGAAAACTTTTTTGGGAGAAGTAATTCGTTTTGGAAACCGTTCAAAGGATCGTCAATGGCATAGCTTGGAACGTTATTTTGAGAAGTATGCATGTTATATAATAGTTCAGTGTATATTGTTTTCAATGTGCTAATGTGCTTTGTTTTGAGTGATGCATTTTGTTTTTAATTTTCCAGAATCAGCCGAGAACTTTTACCTCAAAAACAATTGAAGGAAGAAGCAGAACTAGTGATTGAGCAGCTGATGATTTCAGTTCAATATACAGCTGTAAGTTTTATGCTTCACATTTCACTGAGTATTAATATATTATGTATATATTTATATTTCTATTGACTTCTCTTGTTTTTCTTTTATTTTCAAAGACTTCAAACTATCATATTCTTGTAAGAACTTGAGTGTCCATGGGAACTTTAAAAGCTGACTTTCAAACAAATGAGTATTAAAAGCATTGAAACATATTCAAATGATTCTGATTACAGCAAATTTGGAATTTGCCAAAAGTACAAGACTTTTAACTGCTGACAAAACTCAAACAAATAGGGTTAATATACATTTCGGTACCTGAACTTGGCTTCAAGGTATAATGTGGCACCTAAGCTTTATTTTGGTCCAATCAGGTACTCGAACTTGGCTTTTTGGTTCGAATTAGTACATGATCTTGGCTTCTTGGTTCAATTTGGTTAAAAATCATAAGTACCTATTTGAACCAAAAAGCCAAGTACAAGGAACTAATTGGACAAAAAAAAGCTTAGATAGCAAGTTGAACCTTGAAGCCAAGTTCAAATAGTAAAATATATCTTTACCCCCAAAAGGTAAGAGATGATGACCATTCTAACCTATAATATACTAATTAGCTCACCATTAAATAATGTCCTTATTTTTGGTTCCCAATGTATTTAATCTTTTATTTCCTTAATTGTGATCTGCATTACATGTTTAACTGTAAACCTTGGTGTACTAGGAGGCAACATATCATAGGCACTTTTTGTTCATTTTTTTCGTGCAATGTATTATCGTTTTGGACTTTAGTATTGTAGTAGATTGGAAATCATAAGGAGGATAAACAGAACTGCTTTTTGCACTGCAGGAACTATACCAGGAATGGCAGATTCTGGACAAATTTGAGCAAGATTACTTGCGTAAGTGTCAAGAGGAAGATAATTCTGCTGGCACTCAGAAAGGTGACTTCTACATCTCCTTTGGATGCTTGTATATAATTTCTTTAAGTCGCTCTTGATTTGATATGTTGCTTTAGTTGTAACCTAAGCTATTGCCAATCAAGAAGTATTGTGTTCTGTAATTAGGTTCAATTATTTGCAAGACCTCATAATTGAATTATTCATAGGATTATAAAATATGAATAATATAAGAAGCGTTAAAGGCATAGTATTGATTGCAAGAGCTTCCTTGTTGGAGCTTTTTGTAAAATGACAATGAAATATGATATGCCTTGTGTAATAGTCCATAAGATGAATGCTGCTTAAATAAACATGTTGAAATGAGTTTGAGGTCATAGAAGAAAAGGCAATTAAAAGATACTGTCATTCATAAATTGAGAACAAGCTAAGAGAATAATATTTTAATCATTAGATAGGACTTGTCAAAAATAAAGGAGTTCCCGTATAGATGTGGCACAACTTTGGACATGGTTGACAAAAAGCTACATGTCAAAAAGCTAGATTCCTTTGTCGTTAGTATTTCTCAGAAGTCAGATGTGAGAACTAGCATAGCAAATGACGAGGAAAGGCAATTAAAAAGATAGCCATTCATAAATTGAGAACATGCTAAGAGAATGATGTTTTAGTCTTTTAGATAGGACTGGTAAAAAAATTAAGGAGTTCTGATGTGGCATAATCTTGGACATGATTGAAAAAAGCTACGTGTCAGTAACAACTAGAAGGTAATCATGGTTTTTATTCCCCTAAAAGCTAGCTTCCTTTGTTGTTTGGGACTTCTCAGGTGTGAGAACTGACATAAGAAATCTGAGGAAAAATTGAGAAAGATAGATGAATGGAATAGTTGACCTCTAACTCATTTGTCGGAATATATTGATCTTTGTATTTGGAATTTTTTGTAGCAAGAATAATTGATCCAGATGTTTCATGTCTCCAGACTAGCATATCAATTCCAGATTCAAGCATTGCATTAGAGATGGATAAAGACACATTTTTCTTTTAAGTGATCTTTTTTAAAATGAAAATATGAATTACTTAAGGACGTGTTAGTGAGAGAAGCTCCAGCTTCTCTCTAACCCGCGTTTTCAAATTTCAAATTCCCCAGGCGTTTTTGAAAATTTTTCTCTCCTCCGACTTACACCCGTTGTCCGCCGCCATCATCAACCACCCGCCGCCGCCGTCAGACGCCGCGCTGGCCGTCACTTCCGGTGGCCGTTGAACACCAAAACTTCCATATTTTTTCTACTCGACGCCAGCATCAAGGATCTAGGCTTCATTTCACCAAGGAGAGCCTACAACTCAGTGGATCTTAAACGTGGCCCTTCGACTTTTTAGCTGTTGGCGACGCTTCT